ATCTTTGCTGCTGCCAGCGTGGCCCAGATCCATGCTGCCCTCAGCCAATTGCATGACCATGAGGCCGCTGTGACGCGCCAGCTAAACACCCTCATCGCCTCCCAAAAGGACCTCTCCCGTGAACTCGGCCGTCTGGATCTGCTGCGCGCCCACCTCGGCACTCAGACCGTCAACACGCGCGCCATCAGCAACGGCATGCTGTCCGATGCTGCTTCCACTGCCACTCGCATCTCAGGCGCCGTCAAACGGCTGGACCAGGAGCAGTCCAATGTCAAGGCCACGTTGCACGTCGTCGAACAGGTGGCCGAGCTCAAGGCCTGCGTCCTCGGTGTCCACGGCTCCATGGGCGCGCCCCAGGACTGGGAGACGGCCGCAGGTTACCTCAGCCGTGCTGCAAAGATCCCTGACGATGTTGTAAACGGTAGTTTCGCGGAGGAAATCGTGCCCACAGCTGAAGTGCCAGACCCCCCGCGTGTGACACTTGACGCCGCTGCCGAATCCCTCTGCGGTCTCTTTTTGCGCGAGTTTGAAAAAGCTGCCAAGGACGGCGACGGCTCAAAGGTAACGAGGTTCTTTAAGCTGTTCCCCTTGATTGGGAGGACAGATGTTGGCTTAGATGCATATGGCCGCTATGTTTGCCAGGGTGTGGCTTCAAGGGCGCGCGCAAACTTCAACTCGGCCTCGCCAGCCCAGAGGAACGAGGGGTTCTTCTATGGCAACACCATCACCAAGCTGTTTGAGCACATTGCGCAGATTGTAGACGGACACGAGCCGCTAGTAGAGCGCCACTATGGCCCGGGCATGATGCAAAAGGTCATTGAGCGTCTGCAGATTGAAGCCGATGTCCAAGGCGGCATCGTGCTCGACACATGGCATGAAGAACGTCACATTGACCGCAAACTGACCGATATCAAATCCTATGCATTCTCTTTCCTAGTCCAAAGTTTCCTCCCAGCCCAAAAGCCTTCTTCTGGGACACCTCGCGCAAGCTCACCAGCCAATGGCGTGGCCCGCACAAGTGAAGACGAAGGCGTCGACATGAAGGAAATTGACGCGCTGCTCGGCGAAGGTGCCCTCATACTAGGCCGCTACGCTCTGTATGCTCGCTTCATCTCCGACAAGTGTGCGGTAAGTACAACATGCCATCCTCGCAATCCTTTGCTCATGTATACAGCCCGCCGAGCCCGAAGAACACATCGACTATGGCTTAGTCATGCCCAACTTCCTAGCGACTAGCAACCTCCACAAGAAGGTCAACAGTCACCTCATTGAACCTGTCAATGCTATGACGACCTTTTTCTTCCGGAGATCAGTAGAGAAAGCCTTTCAGCTGGACGAGTCCCCATCTGATCTCACTCTAAACCCCAACAAGCCCCTTGGGTCCAACCCGCCTTTTATAACATCGGCTGTTGACGACGTCATGTATATTGTCAACCAGGTTTTGCAGAGGACGCTCGCCACATCGCAACGGGCTGTTGTGGCTAGTGTAGTTCCCGCCGTAAGCCATATCCTGGGCGCCGAGTTTATCGGCATGATACAAAGAAAGATGCGCGACGAAAGCTACCCGAAACCCGTCATTCAGGGCGGGCTCCCGCCAGAAGATAAGGTCATTGCCTTTTTGGTATTGATCAATAATCTCGACATTGCCAACGACTATGTCAAGCGTATAGTTCAGCAGCAGCTGCGCATCCAACCGCAACCCGGCCAAGAAGATGCCCACTCCCCCTTGCAAGACCTTTTCCCGTTTGGACACGATGCAACCTTTGTCGAAAACACTCTCAGATCGATGGAAAAGTCCTTTGCAGCCAAGAGTGGTGATTTGCTCAACGACGGTATCACGGTTCTGTTCTCCAATGTCCTCAAACCCCGCATCCGGCCAATCTTAGCCGAGGCCTTCAGGGATATCAGGTATGACCCTGGCGGCGAAGATGCAAACGATGACGAAGATATCGACGATACCGATATTGTCAAGGCTCGCTTTGATCGCGGCTGGGGTGTTGTCATTCGTCCAATCAAACGCATTCTCACTCCAGCAAACTTCGACCGTCTTCTTGCCCTTGGCCTCAACTATCTCGCTTCTGCACTGGAAAAACGTATCAAGAGCTACTACGGCAGAGTGAACGAACTCGGTGCGGTTCGGCTCGAGCGGGATATTTCGGGCATCATCACAGCTGCCACCAGTGGTGGTGCATATGCGCTTCGCGATGCGTTCCAAAAATGCACGCAAATGACGTTAATCTTGAACATGGAAGATGACGAGTTTGAGCAAGTCGCTATTGACGACGCTGCTGGCGAATCAGGAATATCCTGGGTGCTTGACCTTGAGGAGAGGAACAGGGTAAGAGCCATTGTCAAAGGATAGATTACATGCAGCTGTGAACCTAGTTCAAGTTAGCGCTTATGATGAATGAATGTACAAACTTTGTCCGTCCGAGTTGATATGACCTGATGATGTTACATACCTGCAAGAACTTCGAACCCCTTACCGGCTCGTGCGCCTTTACTACCCCACTCTTCTCGTCTGCAGCCTGGGTAGCCTTCGCTGCCGTTGATAAAGTTCTGCTCTTACTTTTGCCGACCCACTAACTATCGGAGGAATCGTTAGTAATTGTCTTGGACCAAGAGGTGTGACCCGTGGCGGCTTGGCTTCCAATATCACCCCTGGTCTCCCAAGTATCATGCGCCAAATACCGTCCTGATACGTTGCTTTTTCTTACATAACCACAATCATCCAGTTCTCGGTAGTCATTCTCTTTCCACGCACATCATTTTACGCCATTCCCGTTGCCTGCTTGCGCAATGCGCCAGTCGCACGTAGCCGCCGCTGTCCCATGGCTTTCGCTTCTGCTCGCACCCCTGTCAAGCGCCCAGTGCCCGCTCTACCAGAACTACGCCAACCAACGCCACGAACCCTTCTCCACAGGAAAATGGAGCTTGAGCTATGCGAGGCCCATCGAGCCGTGTAGGACTTTTCGCGCCCCAGAGGTTGAGGAGACGATTGGCAGGTTGCGCGATGTGATTAAAGATCCCGATCTGTTCCGGGTACAGCCTCGACCTTGACTTTGCGTAAAACGAGTGTCTTACTGACGCTTCAAACAGCTCTTTGAAAACACATGGCCTAGCACATTGGACACTACGATTGCGTGGCGAGGACTCTCGGACAGTTTCAGCAATACCATCAAACAGGAGGAATTGACTTTTGTCATTACCGGCGATATCCAGGCCATGTGGCTGCGCGACTCGGCCAACCAACTCCAAGCGTACCTATCCGTGCTGAAACCCAATTCTAGCCACGACAGTCTTGCAAGTTTGTTCCGTGGCGCCATCAACCTCCAAGCACGCTACATTCTCGGAAACGCCTTTTGCAACGCCTTTCAAGCCCCAGACGAGAGCGGTATCCCGCAAAGAAGCAGCAAGAATGACGACCGCATCACTCCGCCGTACGACTACTTCAAAGTGTTCTCTTGCCAGTGGGAACTTGACTCTGTCGCCTCTTTCCTCCAGCTCTCAACCGACTATGCAACCGCCACACGTGACTACGAGTTCTTCCAAAACTCCAGTAACTGGACCAAAGCCGTCGAGCTCATCCTGGATACGGCAGAGAGCATGATGATCGACAGCTATTCCGCAGACGGCGTATGGCAGCACACTCCATACACCTACTGCGCACCCTACGGCGGCACACCCATCAACGACTGCAACGGAAGCCCCCATCGCGGCAACCTCGGTCTCGTCCGCTCATTCCACCGCCCTAGCGACGACGCCTGCACCTACCAATACCTCATCCCCTCCAACATGATGTTTTCCTCCGCCCTCAACACCTCCTCTGTCATCATGTCGCGCGTAGAAGCCTCCTCATCTGGTACCCTAACCACCCGCATGCAACAAATGAGCACCGGCATAAACCGCGGCATAGAAAAATACGGCCTCGCAAACGACCCCACTCACGGCAAAATATACGCCTACGAAGTCGACGGCTACGGCGGCGCAAATATCATGGATGACCCCAACGTTCCCTCGCTCTTGTCAGCCCCGTACATAGGATACACAACCATCCACGACCCCATTTACCAAAACACGAGAAGTAAGGTCCTGTCCAGGGATAATCCTTACTACGCCGTTGGCCCGGCGATTACCGGAGTAGCGAGTCCGCATACGCTGCCGGGGAAACCGTGGCCCATGGCGCTCATCATGACCATTTTGACCTCGGAGGACGACGACGAGATTACCCGGAATCTGAGGTGGTTGGTTTCTAGTACAGATGGCCTGGGGCTGATGCATGAGAGTGTGGATGCAAGGAATGCGGGGGTTTGGTCAAGGCAGTGGTTTAGCTGGGCGAATGGGTTGATGGGGCAGATGATTTTGGATCTGGAGAAGAGGAAGCCGCATCTTTTGCAACTGTCGTTTCAGTAGGTGGGTTTGGTTAGTCGAGTAAAACACATCTTCTTTTTTCCTTTTCGTACGAGCTATCTTGATGTACATAAAATTGAATAGGTTGTTGGCCCGTGTAAAGTCTCGGTGCAGGTGAAAGTGAATTGCCGAGTCCCGTTTCATCCGATCCGAGTCAAGTATGGAGGCTAAACAAAAAGAAGAACTAATGTACCGCACATATGCCAATGCTTGTCTACAGGCACTAGGACACGGAGAACAAAAAGATAACCCTTCTAACCATGAGGTTTGACCTAGCCGAGGTTTGAACATCACGCATAGGGAACAAAGTAAGTGCATACCACATATCTTCGATCTAGAAAAATGAATGGAAATAACAATCTCCAACGCTTCATCGCTATGCTCCTCGCTGTTCCCTCAACGCCTGCTGTTGTCAACTGCTTCATCACGAGATGCGGAATTCTCCTCTTCTGACTTAGTAGGCGTAGTATCCATCATGATCGCCATGATCCTCCGTGTCCTCATTATCAACCCCTTGGTCGTATTTACAATCCAAATCGTACCTATTTAGAAATCCTAGTGGTTGATGGTGCATGTGTCTTGTAGAATGGCTAAGTGTCTGTTTCATCATCAGACACACACTCGCGCGGGTCCAGAAAAATTGGCTTCAAGTCAATCGACGCATGCTTATCTGCGAGACCTTGATGAATCTCCTGGATACTGACTCTGTAGCTTGTTGTACATCTCTTGTGAGCGGGGGGATGAGAGAAGCTGTCCAAACCAAGGATTTGGTCAAGGAGCTGCCACAGCTCTCCCCATGGATTCAGTTCAGGTTCGAAAAGCAATGGCCCCTTTGAAGATAGAACGTAATCCATAGGTGTGTGGCCGGAATGGAGAAGCTCTGCTAGTAGCGGTACTCTCTCTTCAAACTCTTCATTCTTGTGTTTGCCTTTATTAGAATAAAAGAGATTACGTTGCTCTTGGGTAGGACTAAGGTCATTAGACGGTACAGCAAGAAGAGGGCTATACATGTTGCGACCTTCACTTCCAAAGAGATCAAATATAAGGATTCGATGAGAAGAGCTTGCGTCGAGTCGCTCAAATTCCGTTGCTGTAATAGACGGACCGCGAGACGTACTTTCTCTAGTCTTTGAGTATACAAGCAGGGGAATAACCGAAGTATGCCGAGGGAGTTCGGAGATTGTGCATGGCACCTGTTGATCTTCAGCAAAGCGTCTTTGCTGCTCGGTAGTCCATGTGTATCGACAGAAGGCGAAGTCTGCGAGCGAACTTGACCGAGAGAGAACGATGATTAGTCCCGATCGACGTGCTGCGCATTGGGCCATGATTGTGAAGAACAGCTTTCGATGGAAGCCCTGTACATGATTGGGAGAAGACGCAATCTCGTGTATAGACTCTGACTTAAACGGGTTAGTAGCTTTTTTGGTTTCTCGGTGAGGACGTCCACCCGTTTGGCGAGGTTGTGGATTCTGTTGGATGATTTCGTAAACTCGCTGAACCCAGTAACCGTCTGGATCCATGCGTAGCCAGTATGGCTCGAATTCGGGCCTGCTAAAATCTCCTTCTTTCGCATCTGTTGTGTAGAATTTGTCGGGAATTCTCCACTCTGGAAGAAAGAAGCATTGTTTCCAAGACGTCTTCTGGTCAGTGTAGTCGAACTGATATAGTAGAAAGTCAAACCTAAGGACATCAGTGATAATTCACATGTATTGTAGAGAAACCTACCGCTCGTGTTCAGTAAAGTAGTGACGCAGCTGGTTATGACGCACATTACGCGCGATTCCGACTTTGTTGAGTGGTGATGCGGGTGATCGATATAACGCGTCAATTTTGTACTGGACGAAAACTTGACGACGGCGCGACAGCCCTGCTAGTGTGTCCGGCACGAGCAACTTGAAATCTGCTAAGCGTGGTTGGAGATTGACGAATTGAAACTCCATGCAAACACTGCTCGTGCGAATAGCTCTCCATATCTCCAACACTCCTTTGAAAGAGGAAAAATGTTGCGAGTCTTCCGTTGGCGCTAAACATTCGTTTCCTTGCTCGACACAAGGTACCCAATTAAGGCTCTTGACACCAGTCCATGGATTGATATAATCGCCGAGACCTTGTGCACAGTTCTTAATGCTTTCGATAGCTTTAGGCAGGAGAGATATTGGCATTCGGTAAGGACTATTGCAAGGACTTAGGTAGCCATAAGCCGAAGGTGGTAGGAACGATTTCCGCGTGAGGTTAACCGCGACCTTGCGTGTATTGGTGTCTGCAATTATCTCGCCACTGAACCGGTTTGGTATGATTTCTACATATTCTGGATTGGTGGCGCATACCGCAACGTAGAATCCGACACGAGCTCTTTGTCTAACGGTTGTGATATAACGTTGGTCTTCTGGACGGTTCGACACACTGCTTTTAATATCAAAAGGGACTAGAACACGACTCCAATGTTTACTAGTGTTACGGAACATCCGAACCTGCTCATCGAGTTGCCAGAAGCGTTCTGTGTAGCTACCTGTCGGAGGCTCGCTATTAGGGGTCGCGTAAAGTGCGCCATCGGCAATAGCAAATTCGTACGACCGCAAAACGAATGGACAGCATGAAAGATGTGAGAATATCTCGGCTTCGAAGTGTGTGCCGCGATTGCGCTTAATGCAAGAATCGACATCAGCCAACAGACTGCCATAGCGCGCATTGAGAGGCATCGCTAACGATTAAAGGAAGGAAGGAAGGAAGGAAGGAAGGAAGGAAGGAAGGAAGGAAGGAAAGAGGACAATGGTCGTGGGGGAAGACGCCAAACCCCACTCTGTGTCACCTTGATGCAGTGAACCCAGCACTTTCACGAAAACGGCTTCGGCATAATGCCATGGTTTGGATTAAGCGCTCGCAGGCTCTGCTGCCTCTGCTGCCTCTGCTGCCTCTGCTGCCTCTGCGAAGAAACAGAGGCGGATAGACTCACTTCTGTCGCCTACCTAGAAACCTTCCAAACTGCATAAAGTATGAAAATGCCCGGGCGAGTAACCCTGCTCGAGAATTTTGTAGCACTCGGTGCGTTGGGTAAACGCTGGGAAGACGTGTACACTGACGCTTCTCTAGCGGTTCGCCCTCGGCATCTCTAGTTCTTTGCCGCTTTTTCGCATCGCATTCTGCAAGCGAGAATGATCTTGACGTCGGTGGTTGGAGTGAATCAACGTAAAGATCGAGTGTGCTATTGAATAGGCTTTGATCGGTGATCATAGGTATAACTAGCTCGAAACTAAGCTGACTACATTCACCAATGCGGATTTGCATTGGTGATGTAAGCCTTACTGGAGCGTTAGACGTTTTAATACAATTCCCCCCGGGGGCAAGAACGATTTGCAACCCTTGCGATGAAGTATTCCTTATGTACAACTGACGCTCTTGTAGATCGAAGAATACAATAAAGTGGTGTGGTGCGACCTCGTTTGATTCTGGTAAAAGGTAGTCGCACGACCGTGACGAGCCAACGGTGAAACAATGCCGACCAAATATGGTAGCAAACGAGAGCTTGACAATTCGACGCTGAACAACGTTGGGATTGAAAGTAGAGCGGCGAGTTTCGGACACAACATGGCACATGTTAGATCGCAGGAATGTTGTAGAGTATGAGGCTTTTGATAGCGGAATCATCTCGGCGAATGCCAGCATGGATGGGCAAAAGGAAGACATTGGGTATCGGGTGTTTGAGGTGGATAGGTGGAAATGATAAGAGAAATGCTTTTTAACAACATGGATGCATGTCTTAAAACGCAGTGAGACGTAAGGCGCTGTCTCTGTATGCTCCATTGCTTACCGAGTGTGGGCAATAGGACAGTGAGTTCCCAACGCTATGCTGATGAAGACCCCGTAGGATTTGTCTCATGCGTTTCCGCATGTGATTTTCGGTTCATTCGGCCGCCGAATCGAGATCGAACTGGTAAATAATGCTGGCCTATCTCCAACCCCACCTCTGGGGAAGATGGGCGTGGAAGGATATTCAAGAGCTCTTTCGATGTCATGCTACATGAGCTATTGAATGGGCGGCATGCGGTGACTATGGATTTGTACAGAGTTTTCAAGTCAAGGCACAAGAACGGTACTAGTTGAGTATGTGTCTCATGTTCCTGCCATATGCCTTGCACTTGAGCTAATCTCTGTTTGGCTTCTGGTCCTTTTGGAAGGCGTTTTGGTCGACCGATAACTTTCTCTATATCCTGGGCCCTTCCAAAGTAAAGAGGATTTGATCGCAATATGATGTAGGAGTTATGAGGCGTAGAATAGATGGGGTAGCGGGGACCAGATACAACCTGGATGCAGTACAGGGGTGTTGGATCTGGAGGGGGATTGAGTTGAAAATCGGCGGTTAGATACCGCGTTCGATGGGGACTCTGTAAGTAATTGAGCTGGCCTTGCTGGCTCCAGGTGTGTCTAATGTAAACCATGGATGGTAAAAATGAACTAGATACTGGTTAGGCCAATGGATATGACTAAGATAAGCTTGTAATACCTCAGATCCTCTGTAGTTGGCCCACGGCTTCTCGGTTCATAAGTTTGACGGCTCCAGCTGCTGCGATTTGGTAGGAAAAAGAAGAACCCCTCTCCTTCAGATACAGCTATCTCATTCAAAGCTAGGACATCGACCTCATTTGGTGGAAGCTCACGGTAATTGGTCCCATCAAATGTTTTGTCGCGAACTTGTTGTACGATGTAGTTGCTAAGAAGACGATCTGAAAAGTAGAAGTCGGACGTGGGAATGTCGCGAAGCTTTGGTTGCGCTTTGTCTTTTGGAACAGGGCGATCTTTTGTAGATGACTGACATTTTTTTGCAGTTGATTCAGTCATCTTGCACAGGGAGAAAGTGGGGTGTGCAGTCTATGTGTCGTGAATGCGACAGCTGGAGAATTGGTCCTGCCAATCTGATGACGCAAACGCTCTCATTAGCGCGCTCCGAATAACCGTGCCCACGCCTGACTGCAAATGGGCAATGCTTTCACTTCATCTCGTGGTAGCCATGAAGAAGGGTAATATACAGGGCTTGCGACTTCTCAGAATCGCGAAGATCTATGTGCAAAATGTTAGTCCACGTACTATATCATGTTCACTACTAGTATCTTCTACGACGCTCTCCACATCTAGTTGTGATGAAAGCGAAATTATGCGAGAAACATAGCCCCTGCTTGCATCTGCGTGGTGAAACTAAATTACTACAGGTCGTATAATGTGTTCGCATTTCTTTTGCTTATGAATATTAACTAGGTTCTGCTCCTTGGTGCACTTACGCAAGATAGAAATCATACATTCCTCCGATACGTCTTGAAGACTCTAGCATATAACGAATCTGGGTCAAGTGCCAAACAGGCAAACACTAAAAGTTCATTATAAGAAAACCTGAGTTTACCTGATCATACCAACTCACGAGATATCTGAGACGGATTCACTATCAGGATAAACATTGGGAACGGCGAGTTTCCATATTTCTCTCCCATAATCTTCGTGTCGACAAGCTTTTCTATCACAACAAACACTCTTCTTGAACGGTCACCAAAGTCAAATCACGGATCACAAGTTCGATGCCCCACCCTGTCGATGCGCCTTGAGACTACAACAATCTACCACGGTCCGGAGAACATCGTCATGTATCCTCTTATATCGTCATCACCCACCGCAGAGCCTCTTGGTTGTGATGTCACTGCCGGTGATTCTCTGCTGCCTGAAGCCGACTTTGACAACATTGTGAGCAGCGATATTGATCTTTTCGCGGTGATCGATGCTGGCCCATCAAGCGCCATCCTCATCATATGCGAAGTCGAGCGAGAAAATTGGGCCGCGATTCTGCAAGAATACATTGACAATGATCCCAATCCTACAGGATGTGTTTTCCTTTTGAACCAAACCCGGTCATCTGTAGTTCGAGGCAAGACATTGACGGATACAGCCTTTGAGTGGAAGCCGGAATACCGTCATAAACTCCCTGGAACTGTGCTTAAGAGCTACTTTCGCAGCCAAGTAAATACGCTTATTTGCATTGGAATGCTCGAGCTAACGAATGCCATAAACATGGCGGGCTGGCTGAGAGGTTGGAAATGTATGCTTCAGCCTGGTGGAAGCCTGGTTGTCGAGCTCAGTTGGGATTGGCAGGACCGTACTTGGAGGGATGCTGCAAAGCGATACGCTGTCATGGCGTCTCCTCTTGGCTTTCGTCTGCAGACTGTGAATGGCTGTGATGTCTTTATGGGAGGCCTTTTGCAAGACCGTGCCAGTCAAGACGAAAGGTATCGCATTGCAAGTACTTACCGAAGGCAGGCATCGAGGTTAGTGGCGCGTGGTCGCCACGCTCGACTTGGTCACACTTTCGAAGACAAGGCCAAAAACCTTACAAGGAAGGGAGTGCTCGATGAGAACGATTTCATCAAGGATGGCGATAAGCTGTACGGTCGATTCGTTCAATGCGGACCACACGCATGGTCAGACTTCTAGGCCCCCTCAAAACTCTATTTCCATTGTAACATTACATCAGTCACCAAAACAGCAAAATGAGTAGACGAGACTTGTTCTTAATGCGACTCAGCATAATATTTTAGACTGTAGCACACAATTAGATCCTATTTAGCGATTAGAATCTGTTGAATTTGTATAGATATATGTGTGCTTACGACCGATGGGTTACAGTGATGCTCCTAATCAGCTGGCTAAGTGTAATACGTCTTACAATACAACCTTTTCCATCTCGCCCTTGACCACCTGCAAAATCTCTCTTAATTCACGTGTCCCAAGACATGTAGCCATCCGCTTCGACACGTCAATCTTGGCGTGGAGATCAGCCACCAGATCTTGCAGGTTTTCTCCGACACCCTTCCACACGACATACTCTTTATGCAGTATGTTGTTGGAGGAAGCGGTTAGGTTCCATGCTTTGTCCAACGTGTGAATTGTATCAGCCATATCTTTGTACTGCTCTATAGTGCTCTCATAAGTAAAATCGCTAGAAATTCCTATGAGCTCCTTGGCGTGCTCTAGAGCTCGTCGGTGTTTATTCTTCCGACTCACATGCAGTTTTTCTCGCTCAGCTCTAATATTTCTGACAGTGCGTTGTAATTGGCTGCTTGCGCTTCGTGTATGCGTCAAGGCCTCGTTGTGTCGACTGGCGACAAGAATGCATTGCTGGGTTGCTTCGCGCAGTTGAGATGCAAGTTGGCCGGTATGCAAACACGACAGCCCATGTTTAGCTTCTGTGTTTCCGCGCGGGGTAAGAACAGCCGTACCCAGCAAATTGACTGCTGCGTCTGCGGCGTTGCGGATATCTCGATCTAACAATACCGCACTTTGACTGATCAGTGCATTCACTGCAGCAATGCAGTCTGGCGTGATGCGGCAACAGCTGTTGAGCGTTTCAGAAGCCCTTTCGAGCCTATCAATAGATACATTAATGTTTGCGTGTTTTGCGACAATATTCTGCCCAGCATTATCAAGCCAAGACCCCCACGCAAACGCCATCACCATGCCGATGGCTGCAAGAAGAGAGACATAACGGCGTTTGATTTGCGGAAGCCGGTTTGGAACGCCCTGCACGATATGGCCGTGCACGGGTGGTGCGGATATGGTCATTCTATCCCTTTGGTGCTGCTGATACAAATGGCCAATTGATGGAGGTGCTGGATTAGCCACATGCTGCAATTTGCCGCTCAAAACCAGCTGCGTGTGGTCTGATGTGGGTGCTTCGTTTGTTGTGAGTGCTTTGTCTGGCGGAGTTTCGACCAGGAGGGGGAGATTAGGTGTAACGGACCCAACCAAAAGTGGGACTGATTGGTGGATGCGCCCTGCATCATGCACCGGATATGATCTATCTTCGATTTTGATTTGCTGGGTGCCGCTTGGGACAACTGGTTCGCGCGAGGATAGGGAAGGGGCTCTAGCTTTAGATGGCTGATGTCTTGAAGAACGTACTGTGCGTGTGTCAGCTCTCCTCCGGGCGATGAAGTCATCCACCAAATTCGACATTGCTGGAATTTTGTGATAAATTCTGATGCTTTCCTAAGGGCCTAGGAGATCAAGTTGCCATCACTGTTTAATAAACGTCGCTTTGTTCTTGGTCTTTCGCCCCACTTCGCTCTCTGTCTAAGATTCTCGCCATCACCGGTTTGCTCTTCGAAACACGTCTTTAGGCATGCCTCTTACGCTAACACCCGCGACGGATGACTGGGACCAGCCCTCTTCTGCAGCACAGTCTCCCATTGAGACAATACATTTCGAAAATGCAAAAGATATGGCCAAAACTCTAGCAGCCCTTGCTGAGAGGTTCATCCAGGCCGGCGAGACTCATCTCGCGTACAACAATGTCTCTGACAGGTACTTTGTTAAGACCTGGAAGAGACTGTTCGAAGAATGTCTTAATGATTTTGGCGCAAACTACGACAATACCGAGGATGTGGACAACCGAGATGACGCGGGTACAGAGCTAGAGAGCACACCTACCGGAAAGGCCGCAATGCACTAGGGAGGCATCCGCATTGCAGTTTGGCTGCCTGCACTGGTTCACAACCTTGCGCATGTAACTTCGTCTGAGCGCTAGTTCTCCAAAAAGGCTGCAGGGAAGTCCTCTTATTCAGCCCACATACCTATCTTTATAGCTCCGCACTCTACTATTAATGTTCACATTTCCGTTCTTCGCACACTTCTTCCATCGTTCACAATTACGTTCCACGACATACAACTTCCCACACTATCTACCATGCCAAATCGCGTACCCAACCTACACTCAACCTTCTACGGGCTTGTACTCTTATTCTTACAAGTCGTTGGTTATGTCCTCTGTCGCCGTGAGGTTCTCATACTTCTCCTCAATGCCGCCGATTACATTGAGAGTTCTCAGCTCTTCATGGCTATTCAGTCAATTGATGAATACGGGAGTTGGCTAGCTTCTAACCTCGAGGTTGCCCTGGCTCATCTCCAAACGGCTATGACCAATAGTCTTCAATTCATTCGTATTGCCCATCAACAATCGTTGGACTCAATAGCGACATCCGAAGTAAATCCCCAATCAACTAAGGGAATTTGATAAATAGGAGGAAATTTACTAACTGAGTATAGAAACAACTTAATGTTGCTACCTGGGAGCACCTAGAAGGGGTCAGCAGTGACTTGGCTCGCCAGCCCATCCGTGCTCTACACTCCACGATGTTCCATAGCATCGAGTCGGCTGCTGCTATATATCGAGTCATATCTGGTGTATGCATCCTCATAGCGCATCTAGTCAAGACATCGCCCTACTTTGAGAGACTCGCCATCGCTGGTAAATACGCCTTTGCTCTCTACATCATTACAACCATATCTTGGGGTATTTGGATTTCTTTCTGGCGAGTTTTGCGCTTCATCGGGTTCACTACTGTTGCATACATCACTGCTGGCTGGCGTTGGCTTTGGTACTCTCTCTTCAATATTGGCTGATCAGGTGTTTTTGGTTCGCCTCGATACAATGTAGGCTCCATGGCATTGCATAGAATGCAAACACTGATCAAGAGTCGTTGGGGCTTCTCTAGTGGGCGATAATAAGGGTTCGGCGTCATGGTGTTTGTTTTTAGCTTCTTATGGGAATATTCTTAACCTACTTGCTACGTTGACATCGAAGTGATTTAGCTATGGAGATGACGTAACGTCTTTGACTATGAGTAATTACCGTGGTGTAGTATGACGTGATCAGATTGTGGGTATATATTGCAACTTCATTTCGTACATGGATATCTGACATATCCAATTGATTCTATTGCAGTGACTAGACTTCATCTTTGCTGTACGAGTTCGATTGTGGGTCGTCCCTTAATCTTTTTGAGCTCTATCCTGTATCGTGCCACAATACCTATCCTTTTCTTGTACTCTGCATATACACCAAGCCATTGCAAAACGACTTTACCAATAGTTTATCCAACTGCTGTTTGTCCTGGCAACTGGAGGAAAGAGATGTTACTGTGTGTCGGCATCTGCCGTGCATGCGTTGGAAATAAGTAACGCAATCGTCCATTCACTCTCTGCGCTGCCAACTCTCAACAGTGAATGACCTGCGATATCTTTAGTAGTCTAACAACCGGCCGTCACGGATTTTTGTACGCTATGACGACTACAGGTATCTTGTTAGGCGTGAGGGGCTTTTTGCTAAGGGGGCTTCCGCAGGAAGTCTCGGCTCAAGAACAACCCTCCCCAAGACGGTTTTTGAACCTTGTAATTCTTGATGAGGACCTACTGACGTAACTTTTGATTGCAACCCCGACTTAAACGTATTGTGTAATGCTAGACCAGCTTTGTATTTTCTGTTGATTGGTAGCCGTACGATTAGGCAACGTTTTGTTCTCTTGACTAGTTCTGGAGAATATTGTATTGGCTTTGCAGGAGAACCTCTCAACTAGTTCTGTGCATTTTCAATTTCAGGGAGTTTGTGCTGTTTTTAATATCGATGAATCGCATCTATATCACAGATCCATGAAAGATAATACGCAAGGCTACAATCGACAACTCCTCAGACTCCAGCATTCAAATAACAGGTAAGTGTCGTATCAAAGCGCAGAACCCTTAATCTAACGTACAAAAGACTTCTATGCATAGCTAGCATATGCGAAACTGAAATACCCCCCGTGGGGCATTTCAGAAGCTGAATAAACACCTTGACGTTCCTACAGGCATTTTCTTGATAACATCCATGGTTGACCAAACCCATGCGTTACTCATGCTGAGTGTGTGTGCCGTCCCCATTGTCCTGATGTACTGCATCAGCTGTCTTCTGCTGTTCATGAAACTCCCTGGCGTGCAATATGTTCGCCATTCTTAGCGAACATGCATCTTCCAACGTTTTCATGATTGCTCCGTTAAAGGAAGAGAAAACACTTAGATGGAAAAGCATCACGAGAGAGCTCTGCTTTCTCAGCAGTAAATGCATGAGAATGGTCCCTATCTGCATTGGGGTTAGCGAAATGAGAAGATGCAAGCAATAATAGCAACACTTACAGCAGTCTCCCGAGTGACTCGTTTTTGACGCCGAATTGCGTACTTGAGAATAGCATAGATTTTCATGCGACTATCGTTAATTGCACTTGTTTGGTCGCGCCTCGCTTTCGCGTCTTCTACATGGCCATCTAAGGCGTCGTTGCGCTCATTTCCAGCTAGGTCAAAGAGACATAGCTGGGATTTCCTCATAGCCCCAATAGCGTATATGAGGATGATAAGGTGGGTTCGCGAGGAGCTTGCATTATTATTAGTAGAGCTACTTGTTCGAAATTCAAGAGTTTTTGCTACTAGGAACTCGAAGGCAGCTAAGGAGTCAAGCTGATAACATGGACGCTTGGATGGGATTGGTGGTGCATGCATGCTCACTGGGATTTGATCTAACTTCTCAATGCCGTAACGAAGAAGTACCTCTGTCGAGAGATCTAGAGAATTAACGTCCGTCCCTAGCGATTGAAAGGCCTCAAAACACAATTTTCTGTTAGGGCAAGGCATCCGAAATAGCTCTTTTCCAAAATTTTGGAGCAGGTTCTGCGTAGTGTGCGACTTGCCGCTACCACTAAAGCCATCTGTTCCAATACAAACAATACGACCTTGGGGATTATTCAACTCTGTTATAATAGGTTCCAACTTGTTGTAAATGTCGCGTTCAGTTGCAGTGATGCCAAAAACATGGTCGAATGGACGCTCCACCCAGTCATTCCTCTCGGATTGTAGAAAAGGGCGGGCCCTTAAGAGCTTTTGATTCGTTATATCAAATTCGCATTGTTTTTCTGCTCGAGGATGGTCTGGTTGTGTTACTCTTATGAGATTGAAATATCGTCCAGCAAAGAATTGCGAAAAAGCGTTTTGTCGCTGATGCTCGATTTGGCGAATGATTCGCGTTTGGGTCTCCACCTCCTCGGAAACCGCGCTCTCTAAACGTTTTTTTTCATCATGCAGTAGATTGTGCTCATACTCCCGATGAGCATCGTCACGAACATTTGAGTCGAACGTTTTCTCATCATCGATCCAATCTTCACTGTTGCCATCAACAGAACAACTGCCACTTGGCCGGTTGCGAGTATTAGAAATGACGTGTACCTCAGAAATCCGGCGTTTGAATGATCTGGATGACTGCATGTAGGCATATGCAATGAAGCGGTATAGTGCTACATATCTGTGCTCTTGGAGAGCTCCATAGAAGAAAATCCGACGGCGCTTAGGAAAAGGGCTACCATTTTCAGATTCCTTAGACATCTTGGTTTGAACGTGCTTGCGAATTTGGCCCCATATTCTTTTTTGAGACCGATGTCGCATTGTCGAATCCCTTATTCCCTTCTTTACTTTCTGCTCTTCTGAGCTGGCGTCGTGACTGGGGCCTAGAAAGATATGGTAGATATAGTCGCATATCATCCGAGACTTAGATAAGAATAGACCAAAGGCAGCTGCAGCCAAGGAGACAAAATAGCAAAGAGCCACCTTGAATACTGCTCGATTTGCAAGCACATTTGAACCATCGATTCTAATGCATCCGTCTGTCCGCGTTCGAATCCAAAGCACTAAAAATAGACACCATAGACTGCGTGAAATGATGCCTCTCCATCTCATCGTCTTTTCTAAACTCTCTGGTTGCATGATGTTGATGGTCACTAATAGCCAATTGAGAGCGTACAAAACCGCAAACCCAATACTCATTGCAATCCAAGATTCAGTCATGAATCGAACCTTCTGTGTCATCATTTTAGACATTTAGAAATGACAAGGCATTGGAATAAATACCTTGAGTGTAATTTTGGTCTGCTGTGAATAGCGTTGAACAAATTGTTCATACGCCCTTCGCACTGAGCTAAAACACTGGAATGATGCCATAGGTAAGCTCTTGCGCGATGGCTCTTTCAGATCCCAAAAACCAGTGAAAATTACGACGGCGAGCTAGAAGTATGTGAAATAGGCAGATTGTGGTGTAAACATGTTTGTCGCAGGATCTTCAGACAGCGACGAGTACATGTTTGAGACAAGGGTATCGCAGCTGTTTCACGCAAAATGTGAAACCTCTTGACTAAATATTTCTGTGAGATATTATATGTTGTAAGCATGGCCTTGCGGTATTCGCAGAATTGCATTTGTACAGCATACAGGCATGATGGAGGCGCAATTTGCAGAGGAGCTTAAGCTACTTCTAGATCAAGCTCAGGCCTTGATGGATCGGCCAGAAGTATGTTGTTAATATTGATCATAATGCACTTGCTAATTTTTGTCTCAATAGGGTTTCCCTCTTATCAATCTTCGGAATATACTCGATGATGAGCGGCTTGCAACTATAAAGCGGATCTATGACAGCTGCACCCGCGATGACTGTGGAAACGAAGACGTCGATCCAGATTCTGGAGTCGAAGTACAAGAGCAAGACCTGAGACCGCTGCGAAAGAAGCGGAAAATTGGTGGAGAAAAGAAGAGGGTCGTTCTGGGTGGCCCCGCAGACCCATGGAAGCGTATAACGAATATGCCCCAGCTACCCGCCTTAGCTGAGTATATTTGCGCACATTTGAGCAAGTATCCAGACTCTCAAGACGCTGAAAAGTTTCTTAGAACTTTGACACTTTCAAGCAAGTGTGGTGAATACGACTCTCGAGATGATTTAGGTAACGCGTTTATGGCTCGCTACTCGTGGACTCAACAAGTCGAGCGTCGCAATGAGCAAGTCTACGTCCTACAGCTTTTTAATGACCTCTTTTGGTTTGACATGATGCAAATTCTACGACCGCGGGGTACAGGGCGTGTAGGCGATTCGATGCTGCAAGAGCTCCGTCGCTTCCTAGCACCGTTGAATTTCAAACAACTGGGATTAGAGCAGGATGTCGTTATAGCTAACGTAGGAGAATGGAGTATACGCGGATCGAAGATCAATAAGCTTTGTAAGCTTTACGGCTCTGGGGCGATTTTAATCTTGCATAAACAGCTCTCTAGAAGCTTGTAAGTTGAATTTTCGAAACAACCTATTATCCAGCGTGAGTAGCTTACCTTGACAGCCTTGAAGGGAAATTCACGGCTTCAGGGCCGTATTTTAAGGGCGCTGTCGAGCGACTCAACGTGTTAAAGCTGAAGGATTACGTCAAAAACACTGGGGCTGACACGCTTGCCACACGGATTCGGAAGCTTCTCGTGAAACCCTTCCAGGAAGCGTACAATGAGAACAACCGTACATAATATGTCGCACCCTTTCCGACGGTACATATAACTTATAGAAGGATATTGCGGCCTTCTCTCGTGTCAAAATATACTTTACGAGTTCTAAAGTGTTCCATTGATGGATATCAAAATGGGTTCAGGTAGATACATCACTGGACTACGCGCAGTTCTTGATCTCTCCTGGTAGTTGTATGTACTCTATCCTGCAATCATGGTAATTCGTTCAATTGCAAATCTGTAGCCTAAGTATGACAAGTAAGTTGAGACTGATTGAAAGCATATGCATATTGAGTGGTCCGCGCACAAACAAGCCATAAGGCACATAACTGTGTATGCTGCACGGCTGTAACAATAGTTTTCAAGCTGCTAGCCATCATCCCATGCTATGCTCTTCTATGAGACCAAGCATACGACCTTCGAAAACTTGTGATGATACCCTCTCGCTATTGCATCGCGCATTCGCGAAAGCCTGGAACACTCGCTTCCTCTTGAAGGGGTAAATAGTAGAGAATTTGGACTAAAACGACTACTATAATTGCCAAAGCTGCCGTGGACTTCGTTTGTTTTATATCTAGAGACACTTAGCTCTAGTCGACCCAATTCTGTTGTATGCAACAGTGGTGTATCCCTGTTTTCTTACTAGGAGCCGTGTTCTTTGGGACAATGAGCTAACCATTGCCGAACATTCTCTCTTTGCGTATCGCTGATATTTGCGCGTCCGTAAAGCAGTAGACAGGCCCTGTGCCAGTCCGCGTCTTCAAGTATCCTTTTCTCCTCCTCGTATAGACTTTGTGCTTCAGGGCCGTAGCCTACTGGTCTTGCTTTAAAAATATCGAGGATCGGTCGTCGAAGCTGTATTTGGAATAGAATGTCGCGTTGAAAGGAATTATCCGGAGCTGGTGCGGTATGTCGTAGCTCTGGGATGACTAGTTGGGCTAGTAAAAGGTTGTCAACATTGTGCAGCATGGCCACAAAATCATTGACCACGGCATCTGCCAGCGGGGGCTCATGGCCAAGTCGTTTCCATAATTTCTCAGAGAAGATCTGGAATTTAGCAGCGCGATCTTCGCACACAGCATTGCATAGTTCTTCGTGGAGACGCAGGATTATGCCATCATCGGGGAGTAGTGGGACCGCCATGGACATGAAATGCACAATGCAAAGATGGCTGATTTTGTGTGTGCGAAGAAAACAACTACAAGAATTAGAAACTGAGCTCGTGTTGACTAAACCATGGAGGATTCAGGAAGTGACAGACCTGGTAAGAGCAGATAACTGTTAGAGAACGGAATGCCAAGATCTATTACAGGGGACCTTTGGTTGTACTATATCCTACGTACTACCCGACATGTACTTCAAAATCGGGCCGATGACCGGCCAGTGCGCTAAGTCCGTTGCATCATCCACAGCAATGCTCAAACAATGCAAGGTTCAGGCCCAGCAAGCGTCATCCCCACAACCATCAACGATCACACTAAGACTAGAAAACCCAAATGCTCTCAAACGTTTTAGTTATGGCCGTGATGGTTGCTCTTATGCTCAGACCCTGGCTGAACGGCGAAAGCCTACAAATCCATTGGCGGCTAGTGAGTACCCATTCGAATTGTTCGTGACTTTACATGTCTAACATCGCTACAGCAAATAACCCAACTTATAGCTGCTATTTCTGTCATGTTCACGGGGATATTAGTAATATCGTGGGTTGCGACGTGCGTTGCACTTCACTGCCTAAGTCCTGAACACTTGGAGCTATTCCTCTCGGAACGAGGTTGGATACAGCGGCGCCTCTTTCAGATAGCACTCATCACTTGGGCTTCATATTGGCAAAAGATATGGTGTTAGTTCGTGATTTTTGTTTAAGTATTATACTGAATACTAATGTATTGCAAGGAACCTGCCCATTTTCCCATCGCCGCTGACCAAACCTTCACCGTATCCCTCGCACAGCATAAGGCTACTCCAGCGACCGTCGTTCTGCTACCCACGATGTCTTCCACAATTGTAGACTGTCCCGGTTGGTTTATACTTGTGATTGCCACACCGGTTCCCCAGCTTTGTTGTTCCAGTACATTGAGTCAGTATATCTTGGATTGCGTGCTCCTCAGTGACCAATCCCTTGCCTTCAAGAGCCGAGATATAAGATGCAAAAACTCTGGTTGTGATGTTGGTGGGAATGGACATGATGATATTCCCTAAGCTTTGCGCGCCTCTGATTAGAAGGTACGCGGATTGCATAACAGGCCGACTGCGTAGCATGGTCATAGAGGCCGTTATACAAGCAAAAACTATTGTATCAAGCAAATAAAGAGATTTCCTGACCCTTCTTTGCACAAAGTAAGCTACAAGGACGACCGCGATTGTCGTAGGGATCATATGGACCGACGTGTTATGGTAGGATGATAGCTTTTTGTAGGTACAATTCAACAATGGTATGCTTGAAATTGCTGCATATAATCTAGTATTGGAGTGAGAGTTTTCTAAATATGAAAGGTCGGCGACTTGTGGCGGGTATTCTAGAGCCTCCCGGTCTCTTCGCTGAGTAGGGTCGGCAATCGCTTCTTCAATTTTCTGATATTGATTTCCTCTTTTAGTTCAGTTCTAGAAATATCGCTGAATTCTCTGCTCTATTTGAAAACATTTGCTGTTTTATTTGTTTGTAAGGTTATGGCTACATGTCTAATGCTTAACATGGTGTTCATCTTGTTCCTGACACGTAATCACATTGACCCAGACCTTCAGGATTTGGTTTGCAACTTAAGGATAGCACGATGGCATTTCAAGACATGCAACTGGATTTTCAGGACTATATGTATACTTCTATCATCAGGCAAGAGCTATCTGATGTTCACACACAATATCAGGCTTGTAGGCGATTACTCGCCCTTACACTATCACCTACTCTTTATCGTGCGCAAAGCTTGAAGCCTTTGCGTAGTTGGATAAAGTTCGATCCTAAATTTGTGCTACTTATAAATATTTAAGTGGAATGGACATGGTTAACTTGCAAAGTGAGTTCAGTCACAAAGACGTAAGTGAAATGGCATCCTTCATCCCTTAATTGCTGCAGCTCGAAACGCCGAATCTTTGCTCTATAATGACTTCTCAACAGTAAGTCTTCTTTTCACAAGATAAATGGTATTGCTTCATGTTAGTGATCGCTGGGGTTGGAAAGCTTCAGAGACGGACCACACTACCCGACATTAAGCTGTCAAAGAGACCGTTGGCAGTATCTATCAGACCGCATCTGAATCCCGACCTTCGGCATCGTGAAATAATTAAGACCACCGCAGGAGGCTAATCAATACTTCACCATGGAAAGCGGACGCGAGCATCAGGCAAAACAGTGGCCGAGCCGAGATTTGGGGTGCCGAAGCCGCGGCCACGAAAACTGCCTCCGCTCAATCACGAACGCGACACCCAGGGTACTTTTTAACTGCAGTGTTACATCCAATCTCCGCATCTGTGTATGTAAAGAGTCTTGGTCATAAGAGATTATCGTATCTTCTACTTGGCGTTTCCGCATGGCTGTGGTTCATCGTCGCACAGTCTCACCGCCTCCAACTTCGGGGCTAATCAGGCAATCGCCAATCTGAGGGGCAATCTAAGTATGATGATTGAGTGGAGCTGTCCTACGTAATCCCTGTGTTCGCCACAACACAGCACATTAATCTTCAAGCGGGGTCTATCTCGATAGGGCAAGTACACCTTTCGATGGACTCGCCATTACGCGAGACGTATTTGCTTCTCTTTGGCTTACAGATGTCCCATAATAAAAAAATTTATTGAACCCAGCCCATCGATTACAGGCGTCTATCACCGTTATTTTACACTCCTTTAGCCCCGCCGATAACGCTGCAAAGTATCTAAACGGAGTTGTTGAATGGGAGCCAAACTGCATACGGAACGCAAACTAAGAAATCGAATGCAATTCACGGTTACCTGCTGCTCATGCGATTTGATAGTATTGATCTAGAACAAATTTCATCCCGCCAAGATTGTTGTTCACGTTGCACTCATCGTATCACACGAAATGTTTCTATAACCATGTGATAGCATGCATTTGCAAAAGTAGCTTGAATCAGCAATTTTCCTAAGCTATCAAGTCATCTTTGAGGTTTTTTGCTATAGCACGAAACCAATCCTTTCGCACTCTCGTAAGCTTTTGGGGAAAGAATCTGCTAACTACTGCTGATTCTTGACTTACACAGAAGCTCTTGTGAATCAACATGGTCAAAGCTAAATCTGCTGGGCAGCCGAAACAAAAAGCTGTAGCCAATCGATTCCCGTCTGTAAGTGGATGGGCTACGGAGCGCAATGCATTTCGCATGCTATCTGAAGCATGTATCCAAGGTTTTAAGGACCATGGATATCGCATTGGTGTCATTCGCGGTATGTTTCCTGATACCTGATTATGAAACTCCAATTCCTAACTCAACATCTACCAGGATCGGATTTCAGTGAGCTCGATGGGGGGCTTATTTTCGACCCCCCAGATGGGTTTCCTATGAACATGGATCCTTCTGATGTGTGGGCCTGGGTTCATGAACATAAAGAGGATTGCAACCTGCAAATTGTGCCAATCGACATCAAATCCAGTATCAGCGCTCGGTCATCTCACCAGATTCCTCCAATTTTCATGGTTGCACCTCCTGGGCATCCCGAAATTCTATGCATTCTACCCATTAATAGCTACACATCTATAATGGCGAATATGAAGTTGGAATACGCAGACAGCCGTGGTGTTGAGTTCAACAAGGCGCATCGGATGCGACAACGAGAACCTTTGCACGTCAGTTCTCTCTTGGCGCCGTTCGCGGTACACCAGCGTGACCTCTTTCAAGCACTACTAGGAATTCGAGATGCATTCAAAAATCAAACGACTTACAAAAATCCATCCAGCGGTGTCACGCTGCTAGGCTGGATGCCACCAGAACCCGATTCTAGTCTCGAAAAGGTGCTGATGGTATCGATGAGCAAGCAAGATCATTCCGCGAGGGTCATTCAAGAGCTTGCCCAGACTCTCCATTCTCATCCAGACTGCCATATGGAGCTGTTGTTCAATCTCGTGCAGCCACTAGCCTGCGACTTGGTACTTCGAGATAACGCATCATCTACGACGTACCTTCTTGAGCACAAGGTCAGCACACCTAAAGAAAGAAAGCCTAACACTGCCCCCCTGAAGATAAATGACACATGGGCGAATGATGGGCTCAATTGGCATTTTCTTTTCCATCAGCATGGCTATTGGCTTATGATCCATACACGAGAGGGGCATAAAGTAGGAAGCAATACTCCAGTAGTCCGTATCGACCTAAGAAGCCCCGGCGCAGCCCATAAGATCGCAGACACAATACGCGCTCATGGCGACTTGGCTAAACAAAGGCTTCAGACTAAATGGAGAACCTTGGATGTCTACGAGAGTAGTCTTTCGGATGAAGCGAGCAGGTCGACGAAGCCATTGACTCGAGAAATGACTATACATGGTAGAGCAGCTGCGAGAGAACAGCTCCGCATAGCTTTCTGCGATGCCATCAACAATCAATGTTACAAGCTCAGGAAAAATGCTTGTATCATCCTGGAAAGTAGTGGCTGTGGAGAAGCGGTAATAATTCAACATGCCTGGTCGGACCGCGATGTAGCCAGATACCAGGCAAGCAAATCATTGCCTGTCTCTCTTTTCGGCGGAACACAATCCAGCTCTTCCAAAGCGCTCGTACTTAACTTCATCCCGCATTACTGGCCGCCTAGTGTCGAGTCTTCACAATTGTTCGAGCCGGCACGCCTTAGGATGATTTATATACCACTATGCTTGGGTCAACCGTTTATCTACATTGCTGCTACTATCAGCGCTCCGTCTGCTGATCGAAAGCCCTGTATCGAAAAGCTCATCATCTTACCATCAGAAAATACGGATTGGAAGATTAAACCTGATGGGTGCCGTGTTTGCGACGATGAAACTAGAATGAGAGATTGGAAGCCAGTTGTCCAGAGTTTGGTCGAAAGCCAGGGAAACAACAACCCAGGAAGCTCACTTGTACAATTTCCCTTCCTGAACCAACGAGCAGAGCCACTCTGCAAGGTTTATGATTTTAATGATGGCTCAGTGCACGCTTACTTCGACGGCATCTTGCAGGATCAGAATTCATGCTATGTTACTCCCATCTATGGACCAAAGGGCCTTCTGCAACGACAATGGAATCACGGTAGCCCTCGAATGGTAGATGTTGGCTCTGCTAGCACCCAGAAGTAAGTGCCTTCATAGAATGTTATAAAGCAATATAGTAGGAATCTTCTAATATCAAGGCTGACATGTTTGTAGCATGATGTATCGCGTCCTAACGACCCTTCCACCCAACACCAAACCGATGCCAACCGAACGTATCGAACGCATACACGATGATGCAAAAAAAGCAACCATGGAAAAGAAAGGCTGCCAATCAAAATCTGCGATAGCCTACGCCCACAAGGATCTCATCAGCAATCCAGAGTACGGTATGACATTGACGAACATCATGGAGCGGTCTGGCTTCAAGACAGCTTATACTCTGCGATGCGACAAGTGCACAGATGAAGATGAGTGTTGCTTCTACATCCCAGAAATTGCATACGGCCTTAAAGCAAAGATTGCATGTGCGGCTTGCTGGGGCAAATCGAAAGCAATATGTTCATTCAACGGTATCGCCAATACTCCAGATCTAGTAGATGCGATACGTAGCTTTGGTGCATTTAGGCGTCATGTGCCTTGTAATCAGTGCTACGTTGATCAGCACGAGTGTGACAATCGAGCAGGGTCTTGCGGAAGGTGTGAAACTCAAGGTGAGGAGTGTGTACGCGAACTTTGTACATACGCGGACCAGCCTGGCGATGACTCTAATTGCCCAAAAGATTGCGACAAAGCCCATGAGGATGATGGCTATACAAACGCCCGTGCGGTTCCGAGGGGTGCAGGGTGCAATGTACGTCTGCGTCTACAGAAACAAGCGCAAGCATGCAAAGATTGAACCAAAAGAACATCAATTGGAACTAGCGTCGATGAATCTTGGGTATGTTCACAAGAGGCGAAGGAATTTGAAGGTAACTGTATATTCAGCGAATGAATCGTGAACGCCAGACGGAACAAGGATGCTACGTAGATTACTTCGCGAACTGCAACTCCTCTTGCGCATTGCTTTTTCCCGAATAGCATTACAAATGGAATATATGGTATCAAAATATTTTTTTTCCAAATAACATGGTTTGACCAAATGGTGTAGTGGTTATCACGTCAGTCTCACACACTGAAGGTCTAGGGTTCAATTCCCTGTTTGGTCATTTGTTTTCTTTTTTGCAGATATCTACCTTTAAGCCGTTCCAACATCGTCACCTACACTAAAGTTCATTTTTGCAGGCTATAACATATAATGAGCTTACTTCTAAGTGCTACGATTACGTTATAATTAGCAGCGTTGGATCTATTCCTGTAGGATTGTTTTTGCTCGCGACATAGTATAGACGATCCAAGCATATCCCCGTTGGCACATACTTCATGACAAAACTTGCTTTCGATGCGCAAATGAACTTCCTTTGTCAAATGGCGAATATACTGCAAGCACTTCTCTCTAGCAAACCTAGGATGTTCTTCTTTGTTCAAGGCTCACCATCACTTTATAACACAATTTCTCTCGCACGCACTCCAGCATTCAGATACCTTCACTGGGACGAAACCAGACCATGAGGACGAAAAAGCAACATCTATCGGATCAAGACTGGTATGACTGGCATGCCACAATCGATCCCGAACGACAAAGCCTTCTCTTGCATGAGGACGCACCAGCGGACATGTTCAAAGCGAACGGTGATATACAATGGGATGACTTGGCTGGAAGACTTCAGGATGTGGAATATCCTGAGTTGCTCTTCGACGGACATGACACGCTAAAGAATCATGTCAGCGCCATCTTTCTCAGAACGATACCTGCAGTTGCGCTCATCACAGTATCACTCAACAACTATGTGGCGCGCAACAATCTGCCTTGCAAGAATTCTCTCTACTCTTCTGGTAATCTCTGGTGCTAACATTGGCAATAGTCAAGTTTTCTTGGAGCCACATACCTCTTTCTTTAGGTGAAAGTGGTGCATTCACGGCTTGGGGCCACCCACCTCTTTCTCCAGGTGAAAGCGATATATTTATGGCATTCGGGGCTTGGTCTACCAAGGAACAGAAAGATTGGATATCGATGAGCCCTGCGTACCGTGCAAAGCGATGTACCGTATGGGAGAGTACGATTCGCCATAGGTATAAGGTTATGTTCGCTATTTTTACAAATACTAACTAAATACACGTGCAGTTCACAGGCGATCCAAATTCCCTACTCTAGAAAAAAGCAGGTTTCGTTCTTCAGAAGTGGAGCTCCTATGATAATGTCTAATGCTATCGTTTGGGCCGCAGAATGTGTACGCGAAGACGGCGAAAAAGACGCAGGAGAGCTTTTTCTTCAATGGCGCGCGGTCGATGCCCACAGAGGCCAATGCACCACGAACAAAAAGCTCTTCAACGTAATGCGCAAGTATTATCTGGAAGCGAGTTCACAAAGACCGTGGCATATATGGAGACTCAAAGCCATCACAGCTATCCACAACAGGAGGAAGTCAACCAGGAGGCATACGACAACATTTTGGAGTAAAGTGGAAGAGAAGATCGCTGGTGTTCCCCCAATGGTCAAGAAGTAGAGGCACGAAAGCATTGCAAAGATGGATAGACTGGATGAGCGTGGTTGTTCTGTAGCACACTCAATATGCTGAGAGAGACAGATTTTATGTGGAAATAACTGGTAGTAAATCGTGATATACAACTCTTATTCATCATCACTCTTTGTATTTAGAGGTCTACAGTTGCGTTCTTTTGTATAGAAGACGCGTAAATTACTCGAATTGCCAGCGTCCTGTTGGGTCCGAAGAATCTGAGAAGCGGCCAAACGCTTTGTCATTGTCTCTAATGTCTGATCAGCTTTATTGTCACGCGAACAATGCAGTGCAACCAATGACGGTCAATGCTGGTGTTCGAAGCTTCGGCCTGGTCGGTTGTAACCGAACACCCACACAAAAACGCAAAAATCAATGGTGGTGCTAATTGGATCGATAACTGTGTCGGGACATGTCTTGGCTGTCAAAGTCAGTACTGGGATCATACATCACAGCTCTACAATCGGTATTGATAGTCTATTTATTCGATTTCCATATCTTCAAGCAGCTCCTTGTCTCAACAATAACAGCGTGTATCGATCATTTCGCTGTCAACCTCTGTTTGCCGCGCTTCTTTGGCATGTCTTCGTCGGAGTCTGACAGTTCAATTAACAAGGATCTCTTTAAGTCCTTGCGGGAGTCCCGTATCTCCCTCTCTTCTACAAGCATATCTACAACAGGTAAGTATAAGCAAGATAAAGTGCGAGCAGGCAAAATCTACCTCGGAATTTCCTGAGAGCCTTGTATAGCACTTGAGTTTCCTGTTTCTCTTTGATGAGACGATCTAATCGTTGTTGCACAGCTTGTACATCGTCTTCACCATCACTAGGACTTTTGATGTCTTCGTCATCCGCGAAGTCGTCTTCGTTTTTGTTGTTTTCGTCGTTTTCGTCGGTTGTTCGCTCGTCACCATCGTGGTGGTGTCCCTTATGTCCATCTCCCTCTACAAGCTCTCGTATCTGATCGTGCGCGCGACGAATATCTTCATCGAGGTTTTGCTGTCGCCACTTGATATCGTCAATGATAGGACTCACGATTTTGTCTTGCACGACCACTGCAACGGTCACGAAAGCGGAGTGCCTGTCGTCAATCTCACTAGTGAGTCCAGCTACATTGCGGTCCTCTATACATTGTTAAAACATGTGCCACTCCTTTGCTGCGAAAACACATGAATAAAGCAGCACCTACCAACCAAGCACTCTTGTCCGGCTACTATACGGTAGATCTCATTCGCCGCTACTAACATCCTCTTCGGCATCGGTCGTAAGGCTTCGACGAAGACTGGCCAACATTTCTGAAGACAATAGGGGTCTGGTATCAGCACAGGATCGGGTTGTCGCAACTTCGTCATGCGATTGATCTTCTTTTCGTGCTCTTCATAATGGGAATCTTTCCACAGCAACTGCCGTGCAAGATCTAGCCATCGCTGGCTGTCTTCGACACCTGGTATCAGTCCTGGAATCACGTCCTGAAACTACATATCCTGGGTCAGTCGTTGATATCGTAAATGGAGAATGGTAGCTTACCCATGGTAATTCTCTGCCTTTGCCAGCATGCTTCTTAAGTTGCTCGAGGATTTTGTTATCGTCTTCCTCACTCTGAATGAATTCGAAGAGCTTTATGCTATCCATTGTTTAGAGAGACGCGGTGTACGTGCAGGACTGCTTGCGGTGTAGAAAGTGAAATTGAGAGCTTCGGACGTAAAGAACGACACTTTGGCAAGTACTGGATTTGTGCGAGCGAGAAGGTCTCAGGTATGAATGTTAGTAGCAAACTTACCTTCTTCTCAATTATGCTAGAATGTCTCAGCTTCATGCACGTCGCCGCAACAAACACTATAAACTAATTTGAGACACCATCATGGCATGAGAGGAAAGTCGACAGAGAGTCGACAGACAATTAAGTGAATTACAAGGCTGTTGTGTAGATATTACTTATGTGCCTTTGAAACGCTATGACTGGATGAAAGTAGATGTACGCTTGTTCTGAAGCATCGATAGACCTTGTACCCGCATCTTGGGAACTCGGGACCTTTCGCGTCCTATCTGACATCAGATGAATGTGAGGCGAACGTGATAACCAACTACACCACCAGGCCGATTCGATATGAGATGAAAAAATTAAAAAAAATTATAATTGGGTTGAACATCAGACGCCCGTCTCAAGTATAGCCGGATGGATGAACATAATGGTGTGCGGAGCACATATTACCCCTCATACTCTCTTCAAAATATCAAGTAATATGTAACAAGGAGCCGAACACACGTCCCCGGCCCACAACAAGCAATAGCGCAACTACCCTCCGTAAATCCATCTCACGCACAAGGCCACCCGCTTACCTGCATAGCCACCTCTCTCTCTCCCAATCCCCACCCATGCCCCTCTGACACTCCAATAATTCTTTCACACCCACTGATCCAACTCCCTTCTATACACCATGTCGACACTCAACTCCCACCTCCCATGGACTACGCTGCCCCTCCTCATCAACGCCCCAATGTCCGGTTTCGCAGGCGGCCACCTCGCCGGCGCCGTCTCGCTCGCCGGCGGCCTGGGTTTAATCGGCGGGGTAAGAGATATGCACGAGGTACGACGTGAACTCGATATCGCAGCTGAGCTACTGGGCCAGACACGCGGGGCAGAGACGATGCGGGTGGGCGTGGGTTTTCTGCCGTTTGCGATGGACATGGCCGAGGTGCTGGATGTGGTACGGGAGTACAGGCCTGCGGTTGTGTGGTTGTTTGCGTCCAAGACGCTGGCGGGGTATAAGGAGTGGGTTGATGGTGTGCGGGGGGTTTCGCCGGAGAGTCAGGTGTGGGTGCAGCTGGGGAGCGTAGCGGCGGCGTTGGAAGTTGCGAGGGGGGCGAGGCCGGATGTGCTTTGTTTGCAAGGTGCGGATGCAGGGGGCCATGGGTTTGAGAAGGGTGCTTCGATTGTTTCGCTGCTGCCTGAGGCCGCAGATGCGTTGGCTGCGGCGGGATTTGCGGATATTGCGCTCGTGACGTCCGGGGGGATTGTGGATGGAAGGGGGGTTGCAGCTGCGCTGGCGCTGGGGGCGCAGGGCGTGGTGATGGGGACGAGGTTTTTGGCGTCGAGCGAGGTCAAGATACATCCGAAGTATCAGGCTGCGATTTTGGAAGCACAGGACGGTGGACAGGTGACTACGCGGTCGAAGTTGTTTGATCAGTTGCGGGGTCCGAATATCTGGCCTGAGCTGTATGATGGACGAGGCTTGGTTGCGCAGAGTCATAGGGATTTCGCGAGCGGGATGAGTCTGGAGGAGATCCAGAAGTTGCATAATCAAGAGGCTGCAGGCGAAGACAAAGGATACGACACAGGACTGCAAGGCCGTGCGGCGATATGGGCAGGTACAGGCGTGGGGTTAGTGAATGAAGTCCAGAGCGCGAGAGATATTGTGGAAAAGATTCGGAAAGAGACAAAGGATGTCTTGCTTCGAGTAGCAAACGTAAAATGAGAAGAACTAAGGACGAGCAAGCTATTGATGGCATTTAGTCTCTGATAGTAAACCAGAACTGTGCACCTGTGCGCCAATAACCTTGATCATGTAATTTGTTGATATCCGACTATATAAGGGTGATGGTACGTTTTTCCATCGCTTTCATAATCTGCATATAACGACCGTATCGCTCTGCTCTTGCCGCGGCTAGCACTGCTTTTTCATCCTCTGTGCGATCCCAATACGGAGTAAACAACAAAGCTTTCCAACTGACGCCTTTGCCGACATCAATTATAGTTCCCCCTAACCTTTTGTAAATATCAAGTTCACTTGTTGCCTCAATCAACAGTGTGTTCTTGTACCCGGCCATTTCTCGGCCATTTCTGTCTCTTTTTCATGGATCCGAAAGGTATAGCAAGTGCTTTTGTATCTTTCTTCTCGTAAATCTTAGCATCTGAGAGTGTGTTTCAATCAGAGGCGGACCATCCAAGGCCTTGAGGCTGGTGTGCTTGTGTATCATCCCGCTCGTCTACAAATCCAGTGTCACAAAGCCTGAAAACAGGAGCCTGGATGGCAATGGCCGCTTCTGTGGCATCCCCAAGAATTGGTGGCCATCTTATATTGTACACGATCTTTTTGATCTTTGTATAGTGAATTTTCTGACAACGACCACGGTATGGAGCATTAAACCATTGCACAGGGCCTTTAGTTGATGTCCATGACCAGGTTGGTAAGCTGTTCGGTTTACATTCATGGGTATATTCCCCAGTTCTCCATCTTTTCACGGACAATCAAAGATCATCGCGTAAGGTATCTTCCCAAATTCCGTGGGCATATCTCTTTTTCCAGTCTTGCGCTTGTATTCTGAATGCAAAAGCTGCAATGGCAGGCAGCCTATCCTTCTGAAATGTAAGATTTCTCCACGAAAAAGATTCCACAAGTTCGTACCACGCACACTGTAATGGAAGGGTCAGGCTCTTCTTCGAGTCGGCGTAGACAAATTTTGGTAAGCGATAAAACTCCTCTGGTTCACCCTCGCATTTTGAATCCATTCGACACTGCCAAATTACTTCCTCGCGGCCATAATGTATAACACGTAGAGATGAGCTAATTTCCTGGAACACCTAACCTCGCTTGTATGACAAAAAGCCGTCATCCGATTGCATGTCCATAAACTTTTCTGTTGGAGAAGGAGACCGAATTTGTCTCTGTACATGCAACCAGGGATACTTAAGCATAGGATGACTAATTTGCCGATTAGAGATATCGTTAAATAACCCTCCGCCTGAATCTCGGGCGGCGATGGCCGCAATAGTCAGGAATGAGTTTTGATAGACATCTGCCATGCGCGAGGCTTGCTGGCTCCAATCCTGTTCGCTGTCCTGGACGATGCACAGACTGTCGATCCATAAATAATGAATTCCAAGCTCTTTACCGACAATAACGGCCTCCTGGTAAGTCTGTAGAAGATTCTCGATTAAGATTCCCAGATCCATATGTATGCGCTTATTTTCTTGTGTTCTTTTGAGGTTCTCTCCACTAGCCCAGCAGTGGCTCAAGCATGCATATCAAGCTGGTTTCGACGAATCCTCTAGTTTGATCATATCACTGTAAATGCAGAGAAATCTTATTCCTTTGAGTGATTCTACATTCCGATCCTTGGTATTGCAAGGTCCATATTTCGACTCACATTCACTTATACACTTCCTTCCGATGTTGAAGCTATCAGTTGACGATGTGCCTTCGGAAAACAGATTCATCCGACGTTTATCATCCAGCGAGCAGGCAGTATTGGTGTCATCTAGTCACTAGTAAGCCTTGCATCTCGAATCCATCTTATGAGTGCGAGCCAAGACTTGGAATTATCCATTCAACCCAGCCAATGTCACCGAGGCAACCAGTATCATCTTTTTCCAGAAACAAATAGTCTTTATAAGGTGATTTAGTGAGCCTTAGCGTCTCCTGTAAGGGCATTTCCAGTGAAGCATATCCAAGCTGCTGCCAATAGCAGTCCTTAAAAATAGTTTCATGGAAACGAATTATATGGTGCCTCTCAAAGCTCAAGCTAAATTTGGAATCCACAACACAATATTTGCAGCTATGGGAGAGCAATTCCTCACGCAAAAACATCTTCTGTGTTTGGGTAACTCACTGTAGGTTTAGCAGAGCGTGTAAGAGTGAGCAGCCCGTCACGCAGAAGGGTTTGAGAAGGAGGCGCAGCCTACGTGTAAAGCGGCCAGGCTTACGTACGTAGGTGTACGTACTACGTAGCGCGGGACTCATCATTTGTGTACTAAAGGTATTCCGAGAAGGATGAACATCATGGCACTTGTAACAATAACACACATAATTGCTTGGAAGTAGCCAGATATAAGCTGCGGAATAAAACAGTCTAGAATTTGCGAAAACATCGTCTTGATTGACCGTCTTTCCGTACTGAAGTTTCACAAAACAACACCAATTCTTATTGACACTATTATAATACATGCAACCCATGCCCACCCCTCATCAAATTCATTAGAACCAGGATAAACCTTCATAGAATATTGATCACCGAACCGAGAAAAAAACCAATCGTCAACAGCGATAGAAAAAAAGGGGGGTATCCCGAATTGAAAGAAGCAAATGTGAATAAAACCGCGAATGACAATTATTAAGTTCTTGAACTACCAAGACCACTATTAAACGAACCACACGCCAACGGCCCCAATTACCACACTCAGGATACTGGCAAGATGTGGTATCTGTACCCCCCGCGACGCGGCGCCGGTAAATGGCACGATGCTTGTCTGCACCACAGGCTGGGCGCTCGCATTGGTGGGGACCAAGAAGCCGGGGGCTTCGCTGAGCGTGGCTGCTAGTGAGGGGAGCGGGCCGCTCATAAAAGGTAGTGGTGGTGGTGATGGCACCAGGGAGGTTGGCGATGGTGTTTGCGATGCGGATGGTCGGCTTGAGCCGATTGGGGTTGGTGTTGCGATGGGCGAGGATGGAGAGGAGGCTGAGGAAGTAGCGGGAGCGGATTCCGAGGGAGAAGCAGTGGAGGACTCGGCGGGAGTAGAAGACGACGGAGAGACAGCGGAGGAGACAACAGTGGAAACAGCGGAAGAAACAGCGGGAGTAGAAGACGGCAAGGGTACCGTAGACTCTTGGGGCGATGAAGTCATAGCAGGAGCAGGCGAGGAAGTCGAAGGTGCAGGCTCCTCGGATGAAGTAGAAAGAGGAGCAGGCGAAGAAGAGGCAGGCATGGATTCCGGGGTAGACATATACTCTGGCATAGACGTAGATTCTGGTGTAGATGTTGACTCTGATGCAGACGAAGTCTCAACAGGAAGTTCAGATTCCATAGATGAAGTTTCGGCCATGCTCGTTGGAGCAACCGCCTCTGGAGTAACTGTTGAGAAGAGAGTGAAAGAGAATCCAGCATCTAGTGTCGGTGCTTCGGCAGCTGACGTCGTACTCGTCCTTGAGATGTCGTAAGTAATATAGGACGTGGTAGTGATTACGCTAGTACTAGTCGAGCTGCTTTCGCACGACGTCGACATGACGGGAATAGAATAGTTAATCATCGTCGTCGAGTTAGAATTGACATAAGAGCTTGTGAGCGCGCTGTTGCTGCTGCTGCTGCTGGCCATTAAGGTGGTCGAAGCCGGTTCCGGAGGCACTGGGTAACTAACGCTAGTGTAACTAGCGGAAATGTTTAGATACGGGGCTGTGGATATACTCGCATTCGTCATGCTGGTCGTCGCACTCACGTCTGGGGAAGCTGTATAGCTTGGGGTAGTTAAACAGCTTGTACTAGCTAAACCATCAGGAGCAGCTGTATATACAGGAGCTGCGTAGACTACACTACTTAGAGTGGTAGGGGTAGTCATGGCTACCGTTGAAGAGATTGTGTAGTTCACCACTGGGACTGTGTAAACTGGCACATTCGTAGCATTTGCCGGAGTCTCCGGGGCGACGGATTCGCTCACAACCGGGGGTGCAACAACCGGGGGTGCAGGAATGGCAATACCCGATGAATTATCGAAAGCAGTCTCTGGCGATTTGCATTCCGAGACAAGAGGGAATTCCGCCTTGAAGATGTTTCGTGCAACCCCGACGGAGTTGAAGGGTGGTGGCAGGATCGGAATCGAGGCGTTAAAGCTGACATCGCAGGAAATGGAGACGTTGGCTTCAACCAAGGCGATAGGGCCCAGCTGGATAAGATCGGGAGACAATTGCGTAGTGCTGTTTGCATATGGTGCAGATGGATTAGTGGCGTTGTCGCCACTAGCACAGTTCTCAGCAATGTTGGTCGAGAGCTTTGCATCCAGGCGAGGTAGGTCCAAAGTAGCAGTGACCTCCGCTGATAACTGGCCGAGGAAGTCGAAACCAACTGGGATGGTGGGCTTGAAGGCAAGACCAAGAGTAACGTCAACGTCTGTAATGTTGACAGTGACGGGCAGAGCAGTAAGAGTGGTGTCCTGGAAACCAACAAGACTGCTGCTACCGAGGTCGGTGAGCTCGACCCGAAGCCTAGAGTTCTCTGGCACATTGAGTTCGAGTCCGTAGTTGACCTCAAGCCCGCCGCTGACTTCGAACTCAAACGCGATCCTGGGCTCGAAGACGGCGCCTGCATTTCCAATTCCGGGAATGACAAATCCAGCGATAGGGAGTTGAATTAGAGCAATTTCGAACGCGCCGTTGGCAGATGGTCGTGCAAATAGATCCAATCGTGCACCTACACCAGTAGCTACAAGCTCCACAAAACCGCCAGAGATAACGCTCGCAATCTCTTTTCCGTCGTCACCGCCCTGGAAGATGTCGGGGATCAGGTCGATTTGCGATAGGTCAATGTTGAAAGCACCCTGGTTGAGTGCCAACTGTCCAGTGGTAGCACATCGCTTGCAGCCGATTTCAATGGGGACGGCGATGGGCAAGTCTTCAGGAAGGGGAACTACAGCTCCAAGAATTTCAAGGAAATCTTTCGAGGCAAAGGTCTTGTCGACTATCTCGGAACTCAAGTCGAAGAGAGCAGTGTTGACGTCTTCTGATATGTTCTGGGGAATGGCAATCCTGTTCTGGCGCTTGCTCCGGGTCATGGCAAAATCGGCATGGCGGCGAACGATGTGGTCGTCAGTGGTGTGACCGAATGTTACATTCATGCGGTCAAAGGCCTGTCGCCATGTTGTCTTCTTGACCGATAGGTCGAGTGCTTCTCCATCCTCGGCAAAGGATACATCGGTGACACTGGGACTGTCAGGGCATGATCTCTTAGGAAGACATGCAACTTACCGGTAAACTTCACGCTCGCCTTCGTCGTTGCAACTCTTATGTGAAGTAATGATCAAGCCACCGTCCTCGCCATAGGCGGCTCGGGCATCTCGGGCAGACGAGGCATCAACAAAATGCAACTTCATAGCATCTTTGCCACACTCGACGGATTTCAAGTGATGTTCATGCTCCTCGAGGGCGAAGACTGGCTTCTGTGAGCTGACCTTGACCTGGGAAGCAAAAGTTGAGGCATCGCTCCAGGCATTCTCATCTAATCAATCGTTAGCCTGGGTACGCATAAACCTGAGTAAGCAACATACTCTCCACATAGGCCATCTCCGTCTCAAACTTTTTGGTAATGCGAACGCTTCTTCGATATAGATCGGACCGTTTCGTCGCGGCCCTCAACACGCGTTGAGGTTTAGCTTCCAAGCCGCGCTCTGCAATCGCATCGACATTGTTACCCAACGTCGCAACAACGACGACAAGCGCGTGTAGAAAATGCATATTGGTGCGCTCCGTACGCACTCAACAAATCCAAAGAGGGGTTAGAAGGATTTCTTGAAGCGATGACTCTTGCACAAACCTCGACCTCGACGTAACTGAAAAGAGAGACTGTGGTGGTGTAACAAACAAAAAAACAAAAGGCGCAACAAGGCCGATACACGAAATCAAAAAAAGGAGTGACTGAGACCAACACAAAAGCTATTGTGCAAAAGAGCGTCTGAGAAATCTTACAACAAAAAAACAAAATATCAAACCAACTAGATACTCGCCAGCGAGAGACCACGATAATAAATGCAACGAACGAACGAACGACCGAACGAAAGAAGAGACACAATGCGCAACCCACGACTCGAAAAGAAAGTGAAGTAAATCAGCTAGTCAGAAGACTGCGCCGGGGTCAGGGCAGGAAGTACATAACTATAGGATTCCTATAATATCACATCACCGACCAGGCCCAGCCTAGCCCACCAATTCCTTCATCGGGACAGGGCCCCCGCAGGAGTCTGCAATAGCCAAGGCGTTTCTTGCTAGCCAGGAACAACGGCTGCACAACCCCTACCAAGAACCGTGGAGTGAGATCTAGGCAATACAATGTCGCAAAGTACTCCTTGCAGCCTAGTTTTCCCTTAAAAGGACGCATTAAGTATCGCCTACCTATCCGATTTTTCCGTCGTCACGAGCAGTTTGTGCAATGCATACACACACAAATACGCACTCCACATGCTCATTCTTCAACTCTCGTGCGTAGCAACTACAACAAGGGTGCGCAAAGGCCGGTTCCCAAGTCCCCCCCCCCCACCTCCTTCAATGCAAAATAGCACACCAGCCCGCGAACGTGCGAACGTGCGAGATAGAGTGTCCTAACGGCATCGTGCGTCGCAAAAAAACGTCGTCTAAAGTTCTCGGCCCCGTAGCACAGCAGCGCTACACCTGTCACTTGCGCCCATGGTCCCGCCGCCACTTGCGCGCGGGAAAAGGGAAAGACCCTATAAACGAGTGTTTGGGTAGTACAAAAGTTAACGGGCTCGGCGCAACGGCAAAGGGGGGGTGGGGGAAAAGGATGAGACACGACAAGTGTTTGAGGCACCAAAAAGCGTCGGTGGTGCTCATGCCTCAGGTTTGTGCGCTAAACTGAGTTTAGCAACGGGGCTGAGACAGTTTGAGTAACCCCCCTTCCCTTACCCTTCCCCCTTCTCTTGGCTTTTGAACTATTAGAGCATGGGGAGATGGTGATCCTGGTGTGCAATGGTATCAGCAGTACCTCTCCCCACCTCCGATCAAGCATATTTTATGTGTTTGTGGCTTGGGAGTTGTGAGTCGTGAGGCTGAATATTGATGCTAACCCCTGCGATACCACCTTGTGGCTATACGGGTTTGTGTAGAATGTCGCTCCTGGATTAGGTCTTTCTGCGAGGAAGCCAAGTGCATAAAGGGGACGAGAGAGAGAGATTGGGGGATTGGGTTGGGTTGGGCTGAATTGCGAAACGAGTCTAGAATAGCTGTGTCTAGTTGGAGTAGACGTTCGAAGCGTGAACATGCGATGAAAAGACGTGAGATCACATGATTGACGTGCAACGCAAAATCAACAAAAGAGAGATAGAGATCGTGGTTAACCGTTATCTACGGAAATGTCAATTTGGCCACCTCCACACATGATTAGCCCCAAATAAGTCTCGAAAAGAACGTGGACATCCATTACCAGAATCACTTATCACCACAACCAAGACAAGCAATACCACCTCGCAATCTCCCCCCGCCAAGCCCCCACCATCCAGGCAAAACCTCGGAACCCCCAACCTGTCACTCCCTCAGTTCCCAGAGTCAACAACCCCCCCTTCTCCACCCACTCTTACCACCAACCAAATCCCCCCATATCAACAGAAAAGAAAAAGAGGAAAAAAAAAGTTGCATCCCACCGGCCTTACCCAACTATCGAAATAGGATGCGAATTATGCCGAAGGAGCAAAGTGCGACTCAGTCAGGTGTGAAACCAAACACTTTGCATGCGCCCGCTGTTGACTAGTCAGGGCAGTATTGTTCGCAACGTCGGGAGTCCGTAGTTCCAGGGTTGAAAGGATCGACTTGAGTCGTTTATCGGCCATTTGCCCGTTGCAAGCTGGCACACATCAAGATCAAACCTAACGCACCCGGCTATTCATACGCGAGAGATATAACGGACGAGGATCCCGTCAAGACGGATGGAGAGAACAAGAATAGCTGAACAAGCAATCTAGTCCGAATTTTTCAACAGTCACTTGTGACAGTCTTGGTAGATAAAGACATCGAAAAAAAGATAACACGAGGCCTAAAAGGTTAAAAGAGATTATTGGCAATGATTTGAAATTTCTTGGTTCCTGACTCATGAAAAGAGAGAGAAGGACATGTATATAAATATGTAAAAAAAAAAACGCTGGGTGGAGGGCAAAATGGGGGAGTCAAAAAAAAACAATCCCCTTTCAGTCTATGATAAAAAAAACAGTGTAGCCGTATCCAAAGAGAAGAAAGAGGAAGAACGAGAGAGAACCAAAGAAAAAAAAAATGCGATATGGTTTGTCCCCTCAATCGTTCCCCCCCTTCCTTCCTCTCTCTACCTCTCACTCATCTTACTTCATACGACATTTCCGTATCAATTTTTTCAAAAACAGCCTCCTTTTTTCAGCAGGCCGTTTCCGCGAACGTCAGCTAGAAGGCTGAGAGGGAGGTGGCTGCTTCTTCTTGAGTGTGTTGCGACGCTGCTTCTTGTTCTCGGTGGTGCCGGCGTTGTGGCCTTCGCCGATGCCCTCGCCCGCTGATACGGCGCTGACGGCCTTGCTGGCGCCAACGGTGATGCCTTTGGCGCCAAACTTGCCCGCCATACTTTTTGTGCTTTGCTGGCTGCCGATGCTGAGTCGCCTGGCGGGAGTGGGACTCGCCGGGGTGGTAGATTGAGAGGGGTCGGTGCCGGCAACTTCGTCGGAGGACCACCAGCCTTCGGGGCGAGATGTTGAGGTTTGGGCGGTGGTCTGCGAGTTTTCGGGGGAATCAAAAGTGAGTGAGACTCGGTTTGTCGGAGGTGGCGACATGATTCTGCTGCGGATGGATGGGAATATTTCTTCCGTATTCATCTTGTAGGCAGCTGGGTAGGACATTCTGGACGCTATAACGGGGCTGGTAATCACCGAGGGACTGTCAGCTGAGGATGGGCCATGGTAGGAGATTGCTCGTCGGGTTGGGGGAGAGCCTCGCCTGGGTCGGAGGGTGGGTGAAGCTACCTTCCTTTCGTCTCCTACATCGTCGTATCCTTCTTGCTCAGGCAGAGTATCGATTCCCGGTAGGAGACTTCTGTATGTGATTGGTGACCGTCGCTTCTCTTTAATACCATTGGCCGTCTCGCTTTCCGTGACTGCAAATTTTTCCAGATACTCAAAAACATGTGGGAAGACCAGAGTGTTGACAGACTCTGCCCACAAAAAGTCCAGATGCTCGTAGTGGGGGATCTCCTTGGCGATTGTATGAGAGGGGAGCTCCTTCAACATAATGTTGATATCAACCAGACTATCCGACCCACCGTAGACCAGCACAATAGGTGTCTTGATATTCTTAGTGGGAAACTTGGCAACCTTGTAATACTTGGATCGGTTAGAGATGATTGGGTTCGAGTCATCATCGTCGTACATCTGGAACGTGCCGTTGCGGATGATTTGGAACCAGTGCACTACACTCTTGGTCGAACTGTAGGAGTAGAGGTGGGGATACGCGGCGAGCTTTTGCTCAGGCAAAATGTTATTAGCAGTCCATCCGAAAAGAAACTTCAAAGACTTGTCAATCACACGGACAAAGATAGGTGGATACAGGATAGACTGCCACATGGTGGTCGAGGGAAGAATGGATTTGCGGCCAAACGCGAGGTAGAGGATGTTTGGGGAGGCCTTTACAAAGGCATCGACGATTCCAGATGCAACACCCTTGGGCGACATGGCTGGCGCCAGCGCAATGAAGACATCGACCTTTTCGTTGAGCGTTGGGTGTATGGATAGCGTGGCAAAAGCCTGAGCGGTTCCCTGGGAGAAGCCAATGTACGACAGAGAGGGCTGGTGGGTTGTCTCGAGAATGTATGAAATCGAGTCGGGGATGTCGTGGAAGGCGAATTGGTCCATGCTGAAGTTCCAGAAGCTGCTCGAGGTCGGGGGCGTATGCACACTCTTCTTGGAGTACTTGTTGCCGCGATTGTTGCCGAGCCAGACGTCGTAGCCGCGCTCTACCAGCTCAAAGGGCAGACATCGTTCCTTGGCCGTCAGGCACACCCATACCTCGCTATTCATCATGAGGCCATGGTGTAGGTAGACAACCTTCTTCTTCTGGCCCTTTGCGCGGTCGCGGGGGTTGACTCGCACGTTTTCCTCGCCCCTTTTCCATGCCAGGCGGTGCAAGCCCAGCAGGTAACCGTCGCCCGTCTGGACGATGTGCTCCTCGCATTCGTATCCGTAGAGCTGGCACAGTTCGGAAAAATCGGAGGCATTGGCAATGGAGCTCCAGACGGCTTTTTTCTTGTCACGCGAGCGCTTGGACGAGGGCGAGGAGCAGTAGTTGAAGAGGCGGCGGGTAAGGCGGTAGCAAAAGTTGATGATGGGCGTCGGCAGGGCGAGGGTGATGACGGCAATGAAGGACTCGAGGATGATGAGGGAGATGGACAGGAGCAAGGCGATGTACTCGCGGATGTGCAGGCGCGAGAGAAAGGGAATATGCAGCGCCATGGCGATGGCGGTGGCAGCGAGATGCTTGAGGGGGCGGCGGCAGGACGAGCGAGACGAGACTGTTATGGCAACGGGCAAAGGCTCAGTCGACTGCAACGCCAACGCATAGCCCCTCTCTGCGCGCGCCGGGGCCTGAGAAACGTCGAAGCTTGAGCCTGTCTGGGAAAGACGGTGGCCCAGCCCATGGGCGTCGAGCCGTGTGCGATGGGGAAAAAAATGACGTTGACCGACACTACTGCACTGCCATGGGATTGCTCTCTGACATGTGACAGCCCATCTTGCCCAAGCCTGGCTAACGGCCGTCGGTACCGGGCCCGGCTGCCTCGCGCCGCGTCGGCGCACATGGCCTGGATGCCACGGCTGCCGTGTGCTCCACTGCCATCCCTCCACGTCGTTCGCTGTCGCCGCCGCGTCTGCTGATAACCACGATGCCGCAGTCATGTAAAGACATCCGTATGGCCTCCTTCTCCTCGCCATGGTGAAACTTCGGGCGGCTAACGTACCCAATTGCAGGCGCCGCCCTGGCTTTTTGCCTCCAAAACAGCGACTGCATAATGGTTGAGCGGCACTCGCCCGGCGACTGTCTGCGCCCGCCCCTCAAATACACCCTCCCCACCCAGTGCCAGCAGCTCCAAAAGGGCTATGCAGAATGCAAAAAAGGCATGATCGATATGCGCAAGCGGTTTCGTGGCAACAGGCCTATCGCTGTCCAGGGCCAATTGGAGACGGGCGCCTTTGGCCAGGGCCGTGCCGAGGCCGACGAGAAGGCAGGCACCATCGAAGAGAAGGGATACATGCTCTATGCTGGCCGCCCCTACAAGGGCGTCAAGGAGACAAAGGGTGATGAAGATCCAGACAACAAAGGGCTGGAGCGGTAGTTGGGAGTTGGGCAAGGGGGCACACTTGGATGGAAAAAAAAATTCATCGCGTGCCTCGGTCGATGCTCAACATCACTCACGAAGGAACGAGAGCGAAACAGCATGGTTCGGCGTTATGAAGAGAGTCTGCCATTGCGGCTCCTCTTTGTATAGTAAATCTTTTACATTGCGGCCAATACACCCCTCCACATACATATACACACAGATTGCGTGGAACATGGACGTGACGGTTGGGTCTCTAGATGATAAACGCGTATGCCCGGTCGAAGCAGCTATCCCATCCCGGTACCCCGCTCTTCCAGTATCTCTTCAACACTGCGCACGCCTTGAGCGGACAGCTCGTCCCCAGCAGCCTGCTAAGATCTCCCAGACTCGCCTCAATCCAGTCTTTTGTCGCTTCGCTGCGATGGATACCCTCGACCCCTGCCACCGCCAGAGGCCAAACCATATGTCTGGCCATCCTGGGATCCTGGAGCGCAATGCGCACACTACTCAGAAGCACGCTTCCCTTCTCTTCTTGCGCCTTCTGCAATGACAAGCTCGGCGGCAGCACGGTCAGCGATTGTAGAGACATGCTGCAGTAGAGGGATACCGCAGCCTGGTAAATCTGCCCCAGCAGCAGCCATTCCGAGTAAAGGGGTCCGGCCTGCGCCCAGTCCTCGGGAGAGAATGCATCAATACGAGCAAGCAGGTCATGCGCCTCCAGAGCATGTGCTGGATCGGCATCGTATAACAACATGGCCGCGGATGCCTTGCTACGTAACTGGCCAATCTGGAGTATCTCAATGTACAGCTCCCGAGGACATAGTGTATACGGGAAGATGAGATCATAGACGCTGCTCAAGTCCTCGATAATTGTCCCGTTTGCGCCTGTAATGTCGACTTGGTCCCACGATGGGCTGCATGTGTTGGCGAGCGAGATGATGCTAGGCGCTTGCGTTAGCCAGTAGAGCTTATGCACGGAGCCCAAGGTACCTACAGTAGGTATATCACTAGTGATGGCACTAGATGAGGGGCATCTTTCATGAGCTGCTTTGGTCCGCCCCGCAGGTCAATCAGCCGCTTCATACCGTTGACATGTGAACGCCAGTCCGTGAAGCTAGGGTTCTGGAGCTATATCCAAGCATTAGCCCATGTCCCCCACTATTTACCCAAACAATGTTCATCAACATACCTCCAGACACATGAACATCAGGATACTGGTGATGGTCATGTCCGAACACCTGGTCTTGTCTTGTGCAATGTACTCGCTCAGTGATCGCAAGGCGGCGCCTCGGTGGTGATAAATCTTTGATCGGTTCATGCTTGTGATTGCGCGATCGGCGCCAGATGGCTGCGTGTGGACAAAGTGATTGAGGGATATGCACACTAGCGTGTGGTGTATCGCTGGCGTGAGGAGATGCAGCACTTGAGGGGGAAAGACAACGATGGCGGGATTGGGTACCAGCTCCCCGTAGGCCTTGTACTGCGCTCGAATTTTGCCATTGTCTGGAGCTGTGAGCCGTGTGCCTTGCTAATTGACTTTTGGAAATACACTTACAGTACTGAACAGCCTGAACAACGTCTGACGTCTCGTTAGCCAGATATGCGTAGTTTGGCACCTCGTACTTGTGTAGAACGACTATTAAGCGTTTCAAGCGCCGAAGAGGGTCTCGCTTCGATCGCAGTATCTTTGCGGCTTCGTCATGCAATCCCTTCTCGACGACATCTTCAATTTTCGCCCTTCCCCAAGTCTTGAATATCCGAGCGGCCTCATTAGCGCAAGCCGTCATTTTGATCGCGGATACGTGCAGTTCCGGCGCGCTAACTTTGGGTACACCCTCCTGCTGCTGAAAGAACGAAATCAAAGCGTCCTCGTAATCCACCGGCTCGCAGATGTAATCGTTCTCGTACATGCGTCCATAGAACTCTTGCTCAGATGATCCACCATCCTGAGACGACATCTGCCGATTCTGGCTCGACGTTGGAGTCGCAACGTATACTTTTGGCGGACTGTTATCTTTCTTCTTTCTCCGTCTTGAAGTCACCATGCCTGTCTGAACCCATTGGAGTGGTTTTGTATCGTCGTAGCCAGAGCATTGCCGTCCAGCTTTTTGGCACTTTCTACAGTGGGGTAGCGTGCAATCACATACAAGGCGGCGTTTCGAGCATTCCCAGCATTGTCTGGTTGCTTTCGTTTCTCCTTTTTCGGGCAAGCTCATATTGACTCGACGAAGTGTTTTGTTTGCTATCGATGCAGGCGGAGCACTGATGTCTCCTAGTATGTGCCTGGCTTAGTCTGGACCTCGAGGTACCCAGACGTGCGGTTGCGGCTGTTGCGACAGGGCTAGACTCAACGCCGCAGCGAGCATGTTTGCTCTCTTATTACCACAGAGAGTTGGATCTCGTTGTTGTGGCTGAGAGATGCAATGCCCCGCCGAGGATGAGCACTGATAACTGGCCCCCAATACTTGGCCATCGTTACTGCCGTGTTGGGATTAGCCTAAATCTGCCTGCTTACGTGACAAGGGGCCTTCAGCTTTACTTCTATCGGTGACGCCGGTGGGGGCGACTCTACTCAGTTGCTGTGAGGCTGGTGGAACCCTAAGCGCTTGCTGCTTGTGTTCGACAAAGCATGTCTGGATGTAAGAGGCTGTGCATATGTCGATCGCCAAGCCTATGGTGCATTTGCTGATATCTACGTAGCCACTCAACGCTCGTGTCTCACATCAATCTCCATCAATATGAGCAAATGTGGAGTAATCCTATGCGCACTTTCTAGGCACTGGCGGGAGGCACCATGACGAACCTCCCAGTTGAGAAATAATAAGCGACTCGCATACAGCTCGCTTCGTAGTACTCAGTCCACTAAAAGCATGTCATGCCTGGTTATTCGCGATTATAATTATGTCAAAATCACCACACAGCCACACATGACCATCCTAACCTGTTCAAGGAACAACTCTGCAACTACCATAAGGCCGCAAATTCGTTGGTTGCAACTGCCTGAGCATTGTACGCTCGTAGAATGCTTCGCACCTTTTCCATCAGTCTTGGCCTGGCAATAAGCCTTTTTGAGACAATGTACAACAGTGGGGCTATCTCACAGCGGCTGTCCGCATGCTGAATTTGTTACTCGGGATATAAGAGCAATGAGGTTTGCTTAATCGCCGGCGTTTGCCCTCATCAGCATTCGAGTCTTTCATCCATTCTGACAATGAGCAACGGTGAGATAATCCCGGGTAGTGTCTACCTCTACGACCCAGTGAATTGGGCTCCGCCAATGTTCACGGCTTGGTTCGCGGTCGCTACAATCACTCACGTATGGCAATGTATCAAGTACAAAGCATGGAAGGTAACAGGCCTTCATCCCGTGTGTGGCCTTCTTTTCACTGCAGGATTCGCCCTTCGATCCTACGGCGCAACTCATTACAAAGACGTCAATGTATATATTGCGAGCACTACATTCATATACTGCGCTCCGTAAGTGATAACTGATATTCGAGCCGGATCCTCCAAGACTGACACCATGAGGCAGCCCCATCCTTGAGTTAGCCAACTACCATGTACTTGGGCGCATCCTTTACTACGTCCCTTACTACTCGCCTCTCCATCCAGGCCGTACTCTGACTACCTTTGGCTTTGTTTCCGGCATTGTCGAAGTCCTTAATGGTATCGGTGTTGCCTGGCTGGCAAACCCAAACCTCCCCGAGTCATACATCAAGAGGGGAGATGCGCTTTTGAAAGCATCACTCGTCTTGCAGGTTGGTGTAATAACCGTATTCTGCATCATCGCCGGCATCTTCCATGCACGATGCATAAGGGGAGGCATCACCACGCGCAAAGTACGAGGCCCGCTCGTGACACTGTACTTGAGCATGATGCTCATCCTCTTTCGGACCGTTTACCGCATAATCGAACACTTTGGAACCACCGCCATCTATGAGCAGTCATCATCGGACTGGGATCCTCAGAAACTCTCACCTGTCTTGAGGTATGAATGGTTCTTCTGGGTTTTCGAGGCAAGTCCCATGCTGGTAAACTCTGTACTATGGAACTACCGGCATCCACGTCACTATTTGCCAGAAGACTACCATATATACATAGCACAGAATGGTCGGACTGAGTTACAGGGCCCGGGTTGGAAGGACGATATGCCTTGGTGGATGACTTTTATCGATCCTTGCGGGCTGACGGCTTCTTTGACTGACAGAAAGAGAAAAGAGAAACCATTTTGGGAGAGTAACGGGTATCAAGCTATCGACCTCGAGGAGGGTGGGGGTAACGATGCATCACAAAGTACGAGCTAATGTGAGAAGGAAGGCGTTTGAGGACAAAGTCGTTAGAGCATGTGAGATAGGAGACTGAGCAAAGGCGTCTCAAGCAGTTCATGCTAGCTACGTCAGGGATACTCTGCATTGCTGTGGTCACTCCATATCTAGTTATCTGTCGCTCGTAAAATCGATTCCATATCTATTTTATCCGCGCTGAAAAACGTGATGCAAACAAAATGAAATGCTTCGACGCGTGATACGTGTCGCTCGCTACATGACATCACGGAGACGTACTACTAACCGCTTCCAGAACGTACACCCTTTTCGCCCTCACCCCTCCGTGCACCTTCCACTTACCTTCTTGTAAGTCATCCCACCCTTCTTTTGCTACAAGTTACCGTGTGTACCATTCCCTTCTACCATTGTTCCGATCAGTTGCGATATTTCCTCGACTGGCCCTCTGCAGATCAGTACCACAGCACTTCTTTCAACGCGCTGTTTCGATGGTATATTGAATTCAGCGTTCCATCGCCTTTAGCAGGGCTCAAAGGCCCTGCATATACTGGAGACCCTGTAGAATCATCAGGACTGGATTGCCTAATCCAGAGTAGAAATTGCACGAGCTGTACTGAGTATTTCAGCTCACGGTGCCGTCACATCAAGGTATTGGCCAAGATTTCCAGGGGAGTCGCGTCCCAAGAAATCAATGCAAAATAGCTTTGTAATGCGAACATTTCAACTGGTTCATAATTGCAGAACAACGGCTGTCACCCAACATGAGCTGGAAAATCTTGTGAGAGTGCCTATTGCCAAAGGGCGTGACATTGGCTATTGATGATTACATGAGTAAGGGATGTAGGGACTATGAAGGCAAATATCGGATATTTCATATTATCATAGTATGCAAAAAGTAAAGTAGAGACCTTTACCGTTTCAACTGGAATGTTGCATCCCGATTGCTGATTCTGAGAATGGACGAAAAGTTTCCGCTGGCAATAGGATACTCCGCAGATCATCTTTCAACCCTCAATCTGTATCATTTGAATCTTTCAGGCATTCTTACCTCACGATGTTTCCAGCGCTAAATACTGTTCACTACCATCTGTCTCATGCATGAGATGGATGTATTCACAATACTATGCAAAGACATAAACGAGCTCGTTTGCATGCACCCACCAGCCGTTACCGTGGTTAAAAATCTGTTTCATTGGATGCTAAGGCAATTGAAAATCCAAGACTGAGCACTACCGACTCATTTTGATATGATCATATGCGTAGCTTTTCCTTGGGTAGGTCAGTGACTCTCAGCCAGACACCCATGCATGTGAAAGCATACAAAGACAGAGGAACCATTACTAAAATGTTCCTTAATAGTAAAATTCTGGATGTCGATTTGGTCTGGCATGTTTGCCATCTCGTGAATGGGAGATCACAAGGCATACAACGTGGGTGAACTTCTGAACCATGTCATCTCCATACTCGAGATGTATTGAAGGCGTGAGCCAATGCCCCAATCTAACAAATCTTTGCCCTTCAATTCTGTATAGCACTCTGATAGTGCTATATGGAAATTCTCAAAAATGATGTGGGTATGCTAGAGATCAGTATGGCACCCCAGGCCCTGCAGCTAGTATTATCTAACAAGATTTCATCAGACGCTCCTTGACATAGATATGTACATTGATCTAAAATGCGTCAATGGTATGCGTCTCCCCACTAAACAGTTGCTGGATAATCAATGAAAGACGCGTTTTCGATCCATTCAAGACAAAATTACCCCTACCATTATGTAGGGGTCCTGGCACTGCCCAACTCCGGACTATGTACCCGTCATCGTTTCACACTACTGAGCGTTGGTAGGAAGGTGATTTTGCCTTCTTTTTATCAACTCAAAAGACTTATAAAGAGGTGCACTTTCGCTCTCAAATTCTATCAAGCCACTCATCCTCTACCTTTTTATCATTGATACACTCGCTAGCCTCGCAGAATCACAGCCATGTCGGGCTGTTCGCTCGTGGCCTCTGTACTGCCGTCTCTTATAGGGACGGCAGTTCCAACCTTCAGCTACGATTATTCCAAACATGTAGCAGGCGACGTCTTCGGCATTCAAATGACTTACATGTCCGGCACATCAACATGTTTCGCTGGAACGAAGCCTAGCTTCACGCCTGTCATCTCGAACACGTTAGCACAATACACTCAAACTTGTTCATACGCTACCTCCGGCGCCCCTGCAACCTACACCGGTATCTTCTGTGGTAGTGCTGCTCTTACCAACTTCCCGAACAGCGGTGCTTTGACCATCAACAATGTTATAGGCGGTTTACTACCACCTCCCCTTCCTCGCGCTTATACAGCCACATTCGGCGCATCGCCCGCGCCCGCCACTGTTGCTACTACAACGGCTTTTGTCACGACAACGTCAACGCAAACTATCCTTGCACCTGGCGGTGTAATTGTAGCCACGACAACCGTCTTTACCCCTACTGGAACAACTACCCAGACACAGGCCGTTACCAGTGTTGCACTGGCTACGAGTACCGTTAGTGCTTGCCCAACAAGTGGAGGAGCAGCTCTTTTGCCTATAGTCTCGGCTGTACCTTTAGTATCATCGCTGCCATTGGTATCGTCTTTGCCACTGGTAACGTCTGTATCGTTGATTCCATCTATACCTTTGGTCTCGTCCCTTCCGCTAGTGTCGTCTCTCCCATTGGTCTCATCACTTCCGTTGGTTTCATCGCTGCCTTTGGTATCGTCCTTGCCATTGGTGTCATCTCTGCCTTTGGATACCGGTATTCTGTCGGCTCCTATTCCAGCTGTCACATCGCTAGTTCTAGAGCCATCTATACCGTTAGTCTCATCACTTCCGTTGGTTTCGTCACTACCTTTGGTATCGTCCTTGCCATTAGTGTCATCTCTGCCTTTGGATACCAATATTCTGTCGGCCCCCATTCCAGCTGTCACGTCGCTAGTCTTGCAGCCATCTGTACCTTTGGTCTCATCGCTACCGCTAGTGTCGTCTCTCCCGTTGGTCTCATCTCTACCTTTGGATACCGGTATTCTTTCAGCTCCTATTCCAGCTGTCACGTCACTAGTACTGCAGCCATCTATACCGTTGGTCTCATCACTTCCGTTAGTTTCATCGCTGCCTTTGGTATCCTCCCTGCCATTGGATACAGGTATTCTCTCAGCTCCCCTTCCAGC